CTCCAGGATCTCTACCTGCCTGCTGGCTGGCTGTCCGAGGCCAGTCCCCCCTCCAGACTCAACCCTGACCTATGCACTTTTTTGGGGTATATGTCTGAATAAACACATTATTTCCCAGTTGGAAGAACCTCTCCTGTGACTCCTGTGTGCTGCGCGTGGGTCCATGCCCATTTACCTCACCTTAACATTACTGGAGTCAGCCTGGGTTGCAAACTGGGAAGACAAGTCAGGGTAGTGGGAGATTTTTTCAACTACTCAACAGCATACTATTCTATGGGCGAGAGGAGCTCCCTTTGAGCGTTGACTTCAGCTTTACAACTTTATGGACATTTTACATATACAAAAATGTGTTATGTTAACTCTACAAATGGGAAAAACATGAAGGGGCCTGTAAAAGGTTCACAGACAGGTATCATAGTAGATTTTTATTTGTGTAAGGGTCACTTATAACATCTCAGAATAATTTAGCAAGACACATATTAAATACATAAAATACTGTACATCGTTAGACCAATTGGATAATATTAGGCATTGGCTAAATTGCATAATTTATTATGTATTGGCACACATAGAAGCATTGATTAATTTTCTTGTAGTTAGGGTCTAGGGTTGTAGTTCTGCAAGTCTAGGAAATATCCACAATCCATTCGATGCAGGCCATCTCCTGAAGTGTGATGTCTATAATTAAATTTTAGAGTTTAAGTTCATGCTATTGCAGTGATGTTTTAGAATTCAAAATGTAATTGATTTAAGATAATATAGAAATGATTATAAGGAGTCCAAGCAACACATAGATAACACCCATTCGGATACTGGTGGCGTCACTGGTTGTTGAGGCAGTCGTTGATGATGCTGCAGCTGTTGTTAGGGTTGTAGTTGTTAGCGGGGTTAAAGTTGTTGTTAAGGCTTTAGTTGTTAATGGGGAATTGGTAGTAGTTGCAGTTGTTGAGGGAGAAGTTTTTGTCGGGGCAGCAGTTGTGGATGGGGCTGCAGTTTTTGTCAGGATTGCAGTTGTGGTCAGGAATGCAGATGTTGTCGAGACAGCAATTGTTGTCTGGTTTGCAGTTGTTGTCAAGGCAGAAGTTGTAGTCGGGGCTGCAGTTGTTGTCGGTCCATCTGTTGTTGTTAGGGCTGTAGTTAAAGTTGTTGCAGCAGTCGTAGTTGTGGCTGCAGTTATTATCGGCCCACTTGTTGTTGTTGTTGTTGGGGCTGCAGTGGTAGTTGATGCTTCAGTTGTTGTTGGGGCTAAAGTTTTAATCGGTCCAACAGTTGTTGTTAGGGCTGCTGTTGTTGTCGGGGAAGCAGGTGTTGTTGGAGCTGCTGTTGTTGTTGGTGCAGCAGTAGTTGTCGGGGCTGCAGTTGTAGTCGGTGCAGCTGTTGTTGATGTTGGGGCTGCAGTTGTAGTTGCTGCAGCAGTTGTAGTTGGTGCAACGGTTGTAGATGGTGCTGCAGTTGTAGTTGGGGTTGCAGTTTTAGTTGTTGCTGCAGTGGTTGTTGGGGCTGCAATTGTTGTTGGTTCAGCAGTTGATGTTGTGGCTGCAGTTGTAGTTGTTGGTGCAGCAGTTGTAGTTGGTGCTGCAGCTGTAGATGGTGCTGCAGTTGTAGTCGGGGTTGCAGTTGTAGTTGTTGCTGCAGTGGATGTTAATGCTGGAGTTGTAGTTGGTGCAGCAGTTGTTGTTGGGGCTGCAGTTGTAGTTGGTGCAGCAGTTGTTGGGGCTGCAGTTGTAGTTGGTGCAGCAGTTGTTGTTAGTTCTGCAGTTGTTGGTGCTGCAGTCGTAGTTGGTGCTGCAGTTGTTGTTGTTGGGGCTGTAGTTGTAGTTGGTGCAGCAGTTGTTTGGGCTGCAGTTGTTGTTGGGACTGCAGTCGTAGTTGGTGCTGCAGGTGTTGTTGTTGGGGCTGTAGTTGTAGTTGGTGCAGCGGTTGTTTGGGCTGCAGTTGTTGTCGGGGCCACAGATGTAGTTGGTGCATCTGTGGTTGTTGGGGCTCCAGTTGTTGTTGGGGCTGTAGTTGTAGTTGGTGCAGCATTTGTTATCGGAGCTTCAGTTGTAGTTATGGCTGCTGTTGTAGTTGGTGCTGCAGTTGTTGTTTGTCCTGCAGTTGTTGTCGGGGCTGCTGTTGTAGTTGGTGCAGCTTTGGTGGTTAGGGCTGCAGTTGTTGTCGGTCCAGCTGTTGTTGGGCCTGCAGTTGTAATTAGGGCTGCTGTTGTAGTTGGTTCAGCAGTTGTAGTTGGGGCTGTATTTGTTGTTTGGGCTGTAGTTGGTGCAGCAGTTGTTGGTGCTGCATTTGTTGTTTGGGCTGTAGTTGGCGCTGCAGTTGTAGTTAATGTAGCAGTTGTTGGTGCTGCAGTTGTTGTTGGGGCTGCTGTTGTAGTTGATGCAGTAGTTGTTGTCAGGGCTACAGATGTAGTTGGTGCAACAGTTGTTGTTGGTGCTGCAGTTGTTGTTGCGACTGCAGTTGTAGTTGGTGCAGCAGTGGTTGTTGGGGCTGCAGTTGTAGTTTGGGCTGCATTTGTAGTTGGTGCAGCAGTTGTAGTTGGCACCGCAGTGGTAGTTGAGTCTGCAGTTGTTGTCTGGCTTGCAGTTGTAGTTGCTGCAGCAGTTGTAATTAGGGTTGCAGCTGTAGTTGGTGCAGGAGTTGTAATCGGGGCAACAATTGTAGTTGTTGCAGCACTTGTTGGGGCTGCAGTTGTAGTTGGTGCAGCAGTTGTTGTCTGGGCTGCTATTGTAGTTGGTGCATCAGTTGTTGTTAGGACTGCAGTTTTTGTTGGTCCAGCTGTTGTTGTTGGGGCTGCAGTTGTAGTTGCTGCAGCAATTGTAGTTGGTGCAACGGTTGTAGATGGTGCTGCAGTTGTAGTTGGGGTTGCAGTTGTAGTTGTTGCTGCAGTGGTTGTTGGGGCTGCAATTGTTGTTGGTTCAGCAGTTGATGTTGTGGCTGCAGTTGTAGTTGTTGGTGCAGCAGTTGTAGTTGGTGCTGCAGCTGTAGATGGTGCTGCAGTTGTAGTCGGGGTTGCAGTTGTAGTTGTTGCTGCAGTGGATGTTGGGGCTGCAGTTGTAGTTGGTGCAGCAGTGGTTGTTGGGGATGCAGTTGTAGCTGGTGCAGCAGTTATTGTCGGTGCTGAGGTTGTAGTTGGTGCAGCAGTTGTTGTTGGGGCTGCTGTTGTCTTTAGGGAAGCAGTCGTTGGTGCAGCAGTTGCAGTTGGTGCAGTGGTGGTTGTTGGTGCTGCAGTTGTAGTTGGTGTAGCAGTGGTTGTCGGGGCTGCAGTTGTTGTTGGGGCTGTAGTTGTAGTTTGCGCTGCAGTTGTAGTTGGTGCAGCAGTGGTTGTTAGGGCCAGAGTTGTTGTCGGTCCAGCTGTTGTGGTTGGGGCTGCTGTTGTAGTTGGTGCAGCAGTATTTTTCAGGGCTGCAGTTGTAGTTGGTGCAGAAGTTGTCGTTGGTGCTGTAGTTGTTGTTTGGGCTGTCGTTGTAGTTGGTGCTGCAGTTGTAGTTGGTGCAGCAGTTGTTGGTGCTGCAGTTGTTGTTGTGACTGCAGTTGTAGTTGGTGCAGCAGTGGTTGTTGGGGCTGCAGTTGTAGTTGGGGATGTAGTTGCAGTTGGCGCTGCAGTTGTAGTTGGTGCAGCAGTGGTTGTTAGGGCCAGAGTTGTTGTCGGTCCAGCTGTTGTGGTTGGGGGTGCTTTTGTAGTTGGTGCAGCAGTTGTTTTCAGGGCTGCAGTTGTAGTTGGTTCAGCAGTTGTAGTTGGGGCTGCAGTTGTAGTTGGGGCTGTAGTTGTAGTTTGCGCTGTAGTTGGTGCAGCAGTTGTCAATGGTGCTGTAGTTGTTGTTTGGGCTGTAGTTGTAGTTGGCGCTGCAGTTGTAGTTGGTGCAGCAGTTGTTGTTAGTTCTGCAGTTGTTGGTGCTGCAGTCGTAGTTGGTGCTGCAGTTGTTGTTGTTGGGGCTGTAGTTGTAGTTGGTGCAGCAGTTGTTTGGGCTGCACTTGTTGTTGGGACTGCAGTCGTAGTTGGTGCTGCAGGTGTTGTTGTTGGGGCTGTAGTTGTAGTTGGTGCAGCGGTTGTTTGGGCTGCAGTTGTTGTCGGGGCCACAGATGTAGTTGGTGCATCTGTGGTTGTTGGGGCTCCAGTTGTTGTTGGGGCTGTAGTTGTAGTTGGTGCAGCATTTGTTATCGGAGCTTCAGTTGTAGTTATGGCTGCTGTTGTAGTTGGTGCTGCAGTTGTTGTTTGTCCTGCAGTTGTTGTCGGGGCTGCTGTTGTAGTTGGTGCAGCTTTGGTGGTTAGGGCTGCAGTTGTTCTGGGCCTAGTTGATGTTGGCGAAGCAGTTGTATATGGGGGCGGCAGTGGTAGTTGCTGCCGCTGTAGTAGTTGGCAGCTGAAGTTGTTGTTTGGACGGTAGTGGGTGCAGCAGTTGTTGGTGCTGCATTTGTTGTTTGGGCTGTAGTTGGCGCTGCAGTTGTAGTTAATGTAGCAGTTGTTGGTGCTGCAGTTGTTGTTGGGGCTGCTGTTGTAGTTGATGCAGTAGTTGTTGTCAGGGCTACAGATGTAGTTGGTGCAACAGTTGTTGTTGGTGCTGCAGTTGTTGTTGCGACTGCAGTTGTAGTTGGTGCAGCAGTGGTTGTTGGGGCTGCAGTTGTAGTTGGGGCTGCATTTGTAGTTGGTGCAGCAGTTGTAGTTGGCACTGCAGTGGTAGTTGAGTCTGCAGTTGTTCTCTGGCTTACAGTTGTAGTTGCTGCAGCAGTTGTAATTAGGGTTGCAGCTGTAGTTGGTGCAGGAGTTGTAATCGGGGCAACAATTGTAGTTGTTGCAGCACTTGTTGGGGCTGCAGTTGTAGTTGGTGCAGCAGTTGTTGTCTGGGCTGCTATTGTAGTTGGTGCATCAGTTGTTGTTAGGACTGCAGTTTTTGTTGGTCCAGCTGTTGTTGGGGCTGCAGTTGTAGTTGGGGCAGCAGTTGTTATGGTGCCAGTGTTACACAAACTGGTCCCACAGCAGGATGGTCCACTGCTGATGGTTCCAACGCTTTGCAAGAAAGGAATGCTACCCAGGCTGGCAGCAGCTGCACACAGGTTTGTAGATGCACAGGCCAAAGGCTGGAGAAGTTCTGGATTCACTTGTCACTGTACAGCAAAAGTCCATTTTAATTACACAACATCCATATCAGTTTGCCAATTAATAAATAAGCAGTACAACAAAGCAGAACATAACTGGAATACCTCTAAAAAAGGATATTTTAAACTTTGTATTTCTGTTAAAGGTAATACAGTTAAAAGTACAATAATTACCAATTGAATGTAGTGAAATATTAATAGAAAGAAACACATCATACATATATACTACTTATGATCAAGACTTACCACTTGCTTGAAAGCATTGGTTCTCCTCTCCCCTACACGTTGTTACAGTATTACATTGAGAGGTAAAGGGGTCACAACTGAGGCATCGTAGGCTGTTATCTGTCTGACTGCCAGGGACTGAAACAGAAAAAGAACATAATTTGTTTGATGAAGAGAGAATATTTAAACTTCACAAAATTAAACTTGAAATTATCAGAAGATGACAGAATATCAAAGTTATTTTATTATCTATTTTGTATTTTCTCATCTTAAATGAGCTTCTTTTCTATCTTTACTTACCCGGTAGAGTTTCAGCGTTGCAATTATCTGTGTTGCAGCACTTAGCAGATGCAACTGCGCCTGCAACACCCAAGTTGGCTGAAAATGTCTGAGAGCCTGTGGCTGGACACAGGGAGGATGATGCACACGCCTTGACTGTTTGCTGTGCTGGTGATCCAGATGAAGTTGCTAAAAATTCAAAAGAGCAATTTGTCAATATTTACAGAAGACACACATAACTCCAGGATACTTTTATTTAACTTAAGTAGCAGGTATAAATAAATCCCCACCTATAATGGAGGCTGTGATGCACATCGTCTGCGGGGAACATGCGACTCGTATTGTTGTTGAACACTGTGCATCTGTGCAAGTCAAACACTGAAGTGCTCGAACTGCAATAGAGAGAAAGAAGAAAATTATATGCTGATCATATCCCAAATATCAAATTACATTTTCGCATTGGTGTCGATGGTTTGTAATGACTGAAAAGTCCTGTTCTTGTACTCATTCCCCTTCATTTTTAAATGATTTTAAATAACACAATCTTGTCCTCTTTCAAAGGGATCTGTTATTCTTTACTCCACTACACTTATATTTTGGTCATATATATTTCCTACTAATTAGGACTTCTAAAATGTTTACTGACTGAATAATAATAAAATCCCAAAAATGTAAAAAATTAACCAAAGAGGGTAACTCTTTGGTTAATTATTATATAATTTCAATCATCATTTAAATTCGTTGAACCCTGTCTGTTAATTGAAATAAATCTCGATTTAAATGATCTCTTTTCAGTGAGAAACCAATCATCAATTTCATATGTTCAGTTGTTTGTATTTTCAGTAGTTTCTTTATGCAATACATTACAACAATTAAATATATACAGTTAAATAATTACGTTTAAATACATACAATTAAATGATTATAATTAAATAATAACAATAAGATAATTACAATTACCTGTGCTGAAGAGAGCCCAGACGATCGTCAGAGAAAGGATCAGTTGATTCATCATGAACAAGCAAGTACTGAGATTAATTTGTCTTAGGAGGTGATACTGCACCTTATTTGCGATGTCACACGTTATATACTGCACAGGTGTGGTACATTACAACCTGTGGAATGAATGGGTGTGGTTTCATTTTATTTGACTGTCAACCTTGTCACATTGAATAGAACCACGTCAACTCACTTTCCACACCCTTTCTTACATTTTGGCATTGTAGTCTGAGCATCTCATCCATAAAATCTTCATTTGAATAAGGATTGTGTAATGTTTTACTGTTCATACGCACTTCCGTTCAATACAGGTCATATCCCTATACGTAACACACAACATTGATCTTTGCAGCACTGGGTGGAGACTTGAGACTTTTCCAGTTATTTTTAGCAGTGCTGTGCTGTTGATGTGTTCTGGTGACATTCCAACCCCTGCTGTTTTTGTATTGACCCGACTGCCTCTGTCTGTATTAACATAGATAACAGAACATTGAAAATAATACGTATAGCAGTTTATCAAGTGCGTTGTAACCTTAGATAGAGCACCTGCGGAGGGATTCAAGATCACTTGAAACTCAGCTCAGACCCTGATGCCTCCAGCCCTGTGCTGCACTGCCATGTGTTTGACGTACACAGGTAGAAGCTATTGGGGCTGATAAAGCAATAACCCGGGTTACAGTGTATTGAACCAAATAAACAGCAGAAGTAACAATTTGAGGAAATGTCAGCTAAATGCTTTACTTGGACTCCAGTTTAGCTGTAAAGAGCCAGTGCAGACAGCTAGATAGATTAAAAAGAGAGCATATCTGTTGCGTGAGACATGTTCATGAAAATGCCTCTTTCAATATATATATATCTAAATATAAAATAATATAATATACTGTATAACGTATGTAATATATCGTTTGTATATAGATATATATGCATTATTTATATAGATAGGGACATTTATATAATATTCATACATAAATTTCAATATGATTGATATAGTTTAATTTAGACAAAACCGGAAACCCTACTTTTGCTCCCAGTGTTGTGTTGTTGTTGTTGTTGTTTTCTGGTTGATATGCCACACCTGTTCTTGTTGAATGGACGTCACCGCCTATCCCTATTTTATTTATGAACCATGTTATTAAATAAGAGAAAACACACCTCTGTAGGCAATGTTTTGCCATGCGTACATGTGCACAGACACGTGTAGTTAGTGTCCGTACACTCTAGCAAATTGACAACGGATGTGAGTTCAAGTGGTGATCAGCAGTAAATCATATTTTTAGCAGATTTTTACCAAGTATTTCTCAGATTTCAAGCATTATTCAGAAAAAATGAACGACATCGTGAGGATTTATAATTGGCAATGTTGGTACTTTCTCACATTCGCTATACCAAAGTTCAATTCAGTGAATAAAAACAAGCTGAATAATTATTTAATACTCTTAAGCCTTGTGAGTACATATTCTTGTTTCCGTCTTTTGGGAATCAATTCATGAAGCAATACAAAACGAAAGAGTTTAAGTCATTAACTTACAGTTTGGAGATTTAATAATAGTCATTTTCGATGGTTTTGTTGGTGAGGATTGTGAGCTTGTTTTTGTTTGACATGTTACAAAACTGAATAGATTGTGTGATTAGTGCTCAGACAAAAAAAGTTAATTTAATATTTCCAAATTATCTTTCACTATTTTCTGACTTGTTACGCGCCAAAATATTTTTTGATTAATCAAGAAATATGTTTGATATAGGCTAATTTAGAAACCAAAACCAAACACCCTACTTTTGCTGCCAGTGTTGTGTTGTTGTCGTTGTTGTTGTTTTCTGGTTGATATGCCACACCTGTTCTTGTTGAATGGACGTCACTGCCTATCCCTAGTTACTTCAATAATGTCACTAAAGATGAACCATGTTGTTAAATAGGTGGAAACACGTTCACACACCTTTGTGCGCAATGTCCTTTTTGCATGCATATGCAATGCATGCAAGCAATGTATTACCAAAGACTGTAATTAAGTGCATAACTTACAGTTAGGAGATCGAATTATAGTCAGTGATGGCTTTGTTTTCACTGGGTGCGGATTAGGGAATTGTTTTGGTTTGAGATGATACAAAACTGAATAGATTTAGTGTTTGGATCACTGCTTGGACAAAACAAGCTAATTCAATATTTTCACTATTTTCTGAAATGCTACACACCAAACTATTTTTGGATTAATCAAGAAAATATCAGCAGGTCATCCGATAAATGAGTACAGCAGATACAAAGGTATCAATAGTTATTTGGAAATGTTTACAATCTCTATAAATAAAGTAAATTATCTAGCCATAAATCCTCTAAATAAACAGAGCAACACATATTTTGACTACCAGTCAGTACGATCCGTCTCTCACTGCTGTCTTGTTTGTTTGTCGGCAGACAGAGCAAAAGGAAAGGAACAACATGGCTTCCAGCATCTTCAGTACAACAATAAAACAGACTTAATATATGTTGTTGTTGTTTTCTGGTTGATATGCCACACCTGTTCTTGTTGAATGGGTGTCACTGCCTATCCCTATTTTACTTAATATGTCACTGTGGTGGCTGGCGTGGTTTGGCTCAGCTGCAGAGGGGACGGAGAAGGTAGTGGGTCAGGGAACGGTGCCAGGTGGAGGCGTAATTGGCCTCTGGTGCAGGGAATCAAGGACTGTGTTTGTCTCCCTGTATTTCAGCAGTGGCGATCCGGCGAGAGAGGTGAGGAGGCTCGACGCCGGGAGCTTACTCTGTGTTGAAAAGTGCCAAATAAAGTTTGTTCCCGAAACGATCTGGTGTGTTCTCCTCATTCCGGGATCCGCCAAGGATCACCACGTTACAGTCACTAAAGACTAATCATGTTGTTAAATAGCAGGGAACACGTTCGCACGTCTTCATACACAATGTCCTTTTTGCATGCATAGTCATCACATGTTCCTGTATTCTTAGGGTCTGTACACTCGAGTAAGTTGACAAAGGATAAGTGGTGATCAGCAGCAAATATGATTTTTAGCAGATTTTTACCTTGTAGTTCTGTTTTAAATCAGAAAAATAACAAAAACAAGCTAATTCAATATTTACAATCTGTCTTTACCTATTTTCAGAAACGCTACATACCAAACTATTTTTGGATTAATCGAGAAAATAAAGAAGAAGTTAAATGAGTAATGCAGTAACGTAGCAGTGCAGCACAGTTAACCTCACATGTTAAGAAATGTAGACTTAATAACACATTCACTTGCTATGTGAATCTTACTGTAACGTCAATGGGTGAATTAAATGTGGTTGAAGTGGAAATTCCAACTTCACGGCAAGGAGTTAAATAAGCAGATCAGGAATTCACAACCGGTTTCAAATAAAGCCTCATTTATACACTCAAAAAGCCTTATATTGAAGGCTCACACCCATATATACCATGTCAAAGTTCAATTTACAGATCAACAATATAGTTGCACTAAATACTGACCCAACCCGAAAATATCAATAGTTATTTGCAAATGTTTACAATCTCTATAAAAGTAAATTATCCAGCCATAACTCCTCTAAATGAACAGAGCAACGCGTTTTTTAACTACCGGTCGGTACGATCCGTCTCTCACTGGTGTCTTGTTTGTTTGTTGGCAGACAGAGCAAAAGGAAAGGAACAACGTGACTTCAGTACGACAATAAAATAGACGTAATATAATTGTGTTTGTGTGATCTCCTTCTTCCCACCACGTCTTCGCTACTCTCTGCAGCTTAGGCAACTGTGGTGCGTCGTTATAGAGGGAAACACAAAGGTCACACTTGGGTTGCTTATAAAAACCAAAACAATATTTGGCCTTCTTTTCATTAGTTACCTTCCTTCAGCGGACTATTATGTGCGTAGGCATCTATCGATTATTTAGATGTCGTTATTACTTATAACCGGTCAGGCAGTATATGTTTGTTCCAGAAGAGGATGCTCTACAACGCTGTACCACTTCTGATGGGTCCTCCAATATTCTCCCCCCCCTTTGCAAGCTACTTTTTAATTGACCTGGTCATTGGTACGGCCGATGTACAACCTTCGCCCTCCCCGTTTAATCCGCCAGACTAAATAAAAAATAATTATCATGATCGTCGAGATCCAAACCTGGGTCTCGGTGTAGCAGGCAGATTGTCTACCACTGTGCTCTAGGTAGTGGTGACTCAGGTGCAGAGACAGACACGGACAAGTCGTATGTTGAGTCACAAAAAGGTTTCTTTACTTGCAAAAAGTAGTAGGTTCCAGATCGTAGACAAAACTCAAAATATTCCAAGACAACTAAAAACAAAGTCAGAGCATTTAACAGGAAACTAAGGGTGTCCCAAAGAACAGGCAACAGAAGATCTTAAACCACAAAAGGGTATTAACAGAGAAGCGTTGTCAAGTGTCTCACACAGCTCAGCTCCAGGTGGTAAGATCCAAGACTCGGCAAACACAGAGAAACACAGTTGGCTTTTTAAAGGCTAGAGAACGAGGCACAGGTGAACGCAATGAGAATAATCAACACCACACAGACTCATGACAGGTGCCATACATAAAACTGGATCACTGAGGACCCCACATGGTCCTTCAGGGTACTTCAGTCCAAAAAACCCTGACAATAATAACGAGTAGTAACAGAAACCAAATGGAACAAAAAGACGGCATACCTGAAGTTCAAAACGAATCGAAACAATGAGCCTCTAATCTGACAGAACGCATTAAATGTTTAATGAGGTAATACATTGAATGACAAGTAGGGCCATTTTATCAAAGACATACATTCTGACTTCTCTCTGAAACATTAAGAATCGTCCACTTATGGTCAATTGAAAGAAGAAAGTTTAATTAAGGACTTTACCTATTTGCTCACTTTTCAGAATCAAAAGGTGCCGCCTGGCTTTAATTAAAAAAACATAATTTCATCCAAGTATTCAAGTAAAGTGAAAGCAATGTGAAAAGGGTCTTGTAGTTGTTCCTCTGCAATAAAGGTTTCTAATTCATCATTAAGACTCTTAAGACATTAAGAAGATTTACCCCCAATGTTGTTACAAACAGTTGGGCGATTCGTTAAATGTTCCTTCTTTCTCTCAGGCTTTATTGCAGGTTATTTAGAAACTCATCAATTTCTCTACACATTTGGTTTCTGTTTCTTTCTCTAATCCTCTCCAGAGTGTTGATGCTGTTCTTTCGATAGGAAGATTGATGCAGTATCGCTGCCGCCTTCATGTGATACTCTATTGACTTGTAGCTCTCCTTTCGGATGAAATGTACATATTTTGCGTAGGAGTTGTAAAGCATCTGTGTACCTTCGGGATCCAGATCCTTTTTCAGCAGTTCCTCGTATATATGGTCAGCTTTAGCTTGGTTATTGGACTCTGCGTATATGTTGGCAAGAGATATTTCTATTGTAAGTGAAGAAAGAGGGTAAAGAGTAATCACATCCTTGTGGAGACTGATTGCTCTTTCGATCATGCTGTGCTCCAGAGGATTGTCACTCCCTTGGAAGATCCTCTTCTTGTAGCAGAGTGATGCGCATCTCTTCAGATAACGCTCATGTGGATGTCTTCCCAGAATTTCCTCTGCCAAATCAATGGCCTCATCCATAGATACATAGATTCTGTACAGCCTTAGCAATGGTGCGATACCACTGTAGCTGCCGATGGGCTTTTTTAAAACCCTTCTGGCCAACTCACGTGCTTCACTTTCGATGTTCTTCCCTTGCTTAGCACGTGCCTCGAGGTACAGAGCAGCGAGGTACAAGTTCTTTGGATCATGTTCTTTGGCGATTTTCATTTTCTCAAAGATGTCAGCCACCAGCTTTTTCTCAGGGTGTCTTAGAGTACTCTCTAACCCGATGACGTGGCTGGTGTGCCACTCCACCATGTCCGGCTGCATCCTGATGGCTTTCTGGAAATAATCGGTAGCCTGCAGCCTTTTGTCTGTGCCAAACTTCATCAGGGTCCAGGCTTTTTCAGCGTAGACCTCCGGATGGAGCTCGCCCTGGGACGGTGATGGGTACTCATTCATCAAGTCGTCTAATCTCAAAAGGTGATCGCGACACTGTGCTCGTTCTCCCCTGTGGTAGTGCAGCCAAGCGAGGTTCCCATGGTTCACCACCAACCAGGGACCCTCATCTGAGACGGTGTTTCTCATCTGTCGGAAGGCCTCCGCAGCCTTGCTGAGGAAACGGCAGGCGTCATTGCTGAGGCCCAGCTGGTAGTGGATATAGCCCTGCAGGTTGTAACGGTGACCCAACCAGCTGTATCCCTCTTCTGTACCGATGTCCTCCAGCTGGTCCTTGAGACAGTAAAGTGTAGTCTCGCTGGTGTCCAGATCCCAGGTGAAGTGGCACTGCAGGGCCTCCAGCTTGGACTCCAGCGTTGTCTGACTCTGAGCACCACTGATGACAAGGGGGTAAGGTTAAGAGTGATGAAGGACTCCAAATTAAAGAAGGAAGGACAAAACATTAAAAAATAAGAAGGGAAAATGAGGGGTAAAGGAGGATATAATGTATCAGAAAAAAGCATACAATTATGGGGGAAATACTTGGATAGAGGTTGACTAGGGAAAATAAGGGGATAGCAGAAAAAAGGCAGAAATTATTAAAGAAGTAGAAAAAAGAAGAAAAACAGACATAAAGGAGAATAAAAACTGAAATGGGAAAAGGGAAATAGGAAAATGTAACAAATAACAGTAACAACATATATTAACAATGCTACTGAATGGAGACTGCCATGCAGACGCAGAAGCTCACCTCATCGTACAGCTTTAGTTTTCCACATATGAGTCCTCTGGTGACTGCTCTTTGTACTATACACGGAGCTCATTAGGTGCGGCACCATAAATTGACAAATATTCAACTTCTATGGCGTTGTAAATTATGAAATGTTGAGCAATGGTTTCGTACTCCATGGTCTTCCTTCTCTGAATGATAGAAACCTAATGCCACATTTGTCATAATGCACAAGCACCAACTCATGTGTATTCACTCAAATCCAAATGAGATTACTTCTTTTCCTATTAATTCCAGTCTTGGCTACAGTCCAGATTCAAGACTGACAAATTGGGCGAGACCAATAACCTGATCCCAAGTGCTTGGATGTGGGGTAATTCAAATTTCATGTGACAATCAAAATAACTTTGGGGCAGTTTTTTTACAAACTCCTTCTAAGCGAACTTGGATTATTAACTATAATAATAGAAATTTTAGTTGTGCCTCTCAAAATTGAAATTATCACCTGCTGCTTGTATCCTCTTGGCACACAAACCACAACCAAATCCAAATCCGCATGAGATTGCTGGAAAAAACACAGCTCAATGTTGCCAAAGAAATATCATTTTCAGACCATTTGAGACACTGGAAAAACCAGTAGAACTAGATTTACCTTTTAAAACAACAGGTGTTCATATCTCGATTCAATTAATTTTATTTTGTGTGGCCCACAAGTCTTTGAAAATATGACTGGTGACAGTTGTCGTTCATGGTTTGTCCTGCTGGGGGAAGTAGTGAGCCTAACATTCTTTATATTGCACAGAGAGTCACAGAAGAAAAAGAACGAGGACGATTCAAGAAGAGGAGGAAATTTGGTGACGTCAATTGCTCTGCGACAAAAAAAAAAAACACCTTGCAAGTAGCATGCAGCAGCCGGCCACGACACTGAAACGATAATGCGGGGTTTGCTAGCGACCCTGTGAGTAGTAACGTGGATATCTGAGCAGGAAAGAGACGAGTGGAGTTTGTTAGACTGAGCCAGTGTGAGCTAGAAGTACCTCGTTAATTTGCTCGTGTAGAAATGTTCAGCTAGCTAGCTAGCTGTCGTTAGCTGAACTGGTTTGTAACTTTATCTCTGACCACTGTCGCTTTTCTGTTTTTTTTTTCTCTCCAGATGACGATGTGACAACGCGGCGCGTCTCTGCGGTGTTGTGAAGCGGTGCGTGCCCCCGGGGTCGGCAGCAGGTGGAGGAGGCCAGGAGGGCCTGAGCTCTGTTGTCGGCGGCTGTCGCTGTCCGCGATGGAGACCTGGACCCCCAATCCCAGAGCTAAGCCGTTCATCCCCCGCCAACAGAGAAGCCTGTACCTCACCTGGAAATACAAGCTAACCAACAAGAGGACGATCCGTCGGTTCTGTCAGGTAACGTGAAGAACGGCACATCCTGCGCTTGATTAATAACCTACACCCTAGTTTAATTAACTTAGTTTACAAAAGTCTACTTGTTTACGTTAATGGACTGACAAATTGCAATCGAAGACATACAACAGTGAAGAAGTTAAACGTGGGGATAAAATACGATGAGATGCATTTGTATAAATGTGTGGTAGAGGTGGGTAAAATGGAATTAACTGTCCTCAGGTAACACTTTTAAAAATTTAAAGAAAAAAAAAGATTGCTACTTGTGACCTGCTTTGTTGTTTGTCTAACCAGATGTCACACATACAAAGTGAAACCTTTTGCCATCCAAAGCTTTCCATTCTGTGATGGGAGCGCATAGTTAGTAGAGGCGAACATTTAAATCAAGGAGCAGCGTGTGCCATTTCAATTCAAACCTACACAAGGCTGAAAAAAATCCTTGATTAGAATGACACATGGTTTTAAACGTCCCTTTGTCTTGCAGGCTGGAGCTATGCTGTTTCTGTTGATAACCGTGATAGTCAACATCAAACTCATCTTGGACACAAGAAGAGTAGCTGATGAAGATGCAGCAGCTCAAGAACATGGTGAGAAACATGTTCTGTTCATTGCTTTAACGTTTGGATTTGCACAACCACTGAATGCTCAATTTTCAGCTCTAGGCTATAATAATGACTTTAGCTTCGGTCATATATTGACTTTTAAAAAATAGCGACTTTTTGTGGTAACAATTGCCATCCTGATGACATCAACAGGCAACGCTGCTACTTTAATTTGGAAAGGTTTCCAGTGCAGAGCATGACAATCAAATCAGTTGCAATGTTTCCCCAAGGCTGATAAATTCAGGGGGGTAGTAGTCGAGCAAACCGTTCGGCCGAGACACAAGCGTCAGTGTGGAACTGCTGTGCGTGGGAAAGTTAACTTTTAATGGTGGGGGAAACAATTGGTAACCCTGTTAATCTTTTAATGTGGCCTTCTTTCAATGTTTGCTATCAATATGAGACTGTAAAGATATCTGGGTTTGGATCTTTGGAGACTTGATTCCAGAGATGCGTTTTTTTTATTTTTGTGAATTTAATTTGAAACACTATTATGGAAAATGTATTTCATGGCTTTGCTGGCGACAAACTAATCTTTGTTTTCTGCTTCTTATTTTTATAGAGGACCCAATACCCAACATGGAGACCCCACGGAAGCCGGCCAATGGACGCAAGGTCCTGGACATCGAGGTGTACTCCAGCCGCTCCAAGGTCTACGTGGCGGTGGACGGCACCACAGTGAGTTCAAATGAAATAACGTTTTTTCCACACAAGAATGCAAGACTGACTAACTGTTCAACTTTGCATCTTCTGCAGGTGTTGGAGGATGATATGCGGGAGCAGGGCAGAGGCATCCATGTGATCGTTCTCAACCAGGCAACTGTAATTCTTTTCCGTCTTTTCTGTTTAATGTCAACTGTTTCCCTCATTTCAGTACAGCTTTTCATTTTCTTTTCATGAATTGATAGTTGTTAACTCATTTCATCATATGTTTGTTTGGCATGAAAAATATTTCTGATTAGGCATTGATCTACTGAGGATTTTCTTCCTTAATTGAAGGCTTTTAATTCTTTAGAATTCAAATACTTTTAATTGATTTATCAAATCCCAAAGGTCTTATAAATCAGTGTTTGTCTGTCTCAGGGTCATGTGATGGCCAAGAGGATATTCGACACCTATTCTCCCCACGAGGACGATGCCATGATCCTCTTCCTCAACATGGTGACCCGGGGCCGAGTCCTCATCTTCACCATAAAGGTCAGTCACTGCAGCTGCCTCAATTAGATATCAATTATTCATGTGATAGTCATGTATCAAAAGATCTTCTGATGCATTAAAATATGACCTTTTTGTCTTGCAGGATGAGGGCACCTTCCACCTGAAAGATGCTGCTAAGAACCTTTTGAAGAGTCTCGGCAGCCAGGTGTCCCTCAACCTCAACTGGAGGGACATGTGGACTCTAGTGGTGAAAAAAGGAGGTAGAGAAGCAAACTTTCACTTTACAAATGAGTATAAATTATTATTATAACAGGGGTCCCGCGGGTCCATAAAAAGTCTTAAAATGTCTTCAATTAAAATTCGGGTAATTAAGGTCTTAAATTGTCTTAAATTTCACGTAGGTATTCATTTTTTTGCCAGTGCGCTTAATGACGACAAGAAAGCACAGTGGCGCATCGTAAAACATCTAATAGTTGATTAATTCAGTATTGTGCGAAATGAGTCTCCGCAATTGAATAGCTGTTTATGGTACGTCAGCTACAGACGCTGACGTCAGGCTGCGTAGGAGGTGGTTGGCGGCGATTGAAAACAACAATTGAGGCAATGTGTAAACTATGCAAAAAGACCTTTTCATTAGGGACCATGGGGCTCAAAGCCGTCGAGTCGCACATGAAAGGAGGAAAGCACCAGCGATACATTGCAGCAGTTAGCCATAGCGGGGCCAGGTTAATCCCTGTATTGTTTGCAGCACGACCTAACGACGTTACAAGTATAGACGCCACCTCTCAGTCGGCTGTAACAAGTGTGTGTTAAAAAAGTTGAGGCTACATGTTGGTTTGGTGTTCCAGGCCAGGTGTATGGAGAAAAGCACACAAAGTCTCCCGCTCTGTCCACCTGGGGAGACCCGGTGCTTCTAAAGACTGAGGTGCAGCTCACCGCTTCTGAAGGTAAGATACAGTTCTAGCATTTATTTATTTTTATTATTTTATTAAATGTGTTAAATCTACTGCTGATGTTGCTACGCCTGCATGCCTGCAAGCACACGATGCAGGAGTCTGATAAAGTGAATGTGGCCCTGCAGAGGCGGAGTGCCACTGGCCAGACAACGAGCTCAACAGGAGGAGGAAGCTCTTTTGTAGTAAAGTGGAAGGCTACGGGAGCATCTGCGGCTGCAAAGACCCGGCGACCATCGAGTTCAACCCCGACCCTGTAAGAACACAGCAAGACACTTGACTTCTCTGACAGATGTTTGTTTCATTGAGCTGGACATAACTGGGGACAGAAGAGTGTAATGAGTAGTCACTTGGTTTATATTATTGAGGTATATTATTTTTTATCACAATCGCACAGAATGTAGTTTAAGGCAAGGGTTCCCACCCAAACTCTATAATTTTTTTCATTTGACTTTTCTTTTCTGAAAAATATCTTTTTTTTGACCATATTCTCTCCTAATTCCATGCGCTTATCCCTCTTGGCATAATGCGTCACCGAAGCTGTATTCTTGCCGTGTCTCATGTCGGCCGGTTGTTGTGTGATCGGTTTTGCTAAATCTTGTCTTGCAAGAAACCGGTACTTTCAAAAGATGGACCGGGAAAATGTTTAACTAAATTATGTTATTTGCCTTAATCTGCTTAATAGATTTTGTTCAGGTTTTTCTGTCAGGTTTCCTGTTTCCTTTATTTACGCCAAGCTAAGAAAACAGGCTCCTGGCGTTTTCTTCATATTTACCCAACAGACATGAGTCATGTCGATCCTCTCGTCAGAAAGTGAAAAGGCTTTCATATTCCATGAAAGTAAATTACTCCAAATTGCAGCTTATTGCAAAAGAATTATAACTTATTATTCTCCTCTTCTCCCCATCATTCCAGCTACCCAACAATAATGTCTTTAATGTCCCCGTGGCCGTGATAGCAGGGAACAGACCAAACTATCTTTACAGGTAAGATCTGAAATAGTTGGTCACAATGCCCAAATTCTGACTAAAACAATACCCGCAAATTACTGAAACATCGGGTAATCATAGAAGACAAAACATGATGTTTAAAACTTTCGTGAAAACATCATTTTAACCCCTTAGCCAGGTTCTTTATTCCCGCAGAAATGTAAAATAGCCATTCTGATGTCCATTGAAAATGTATTTTTGTTGAAAGTCCGTTGTATATAAATCACATATTAAGTTTGTTTATTCCTCTGTGTCTTTTAATTAATACTGAGACCAATCTGACCGTATGTTGTTGTCCAACCTTTTGTTTGTTGAAAAACAGTCTTTTCCAAATAACACAATTTAAAAAAACGCTCGTTTGTTTTCAGGATGCTGAGGTCTCTTCTTTCAGCTCACGGCGTCAACCCTCAGATGATCACCGTCTTCATCGATGGATATTATGAGGTACCAAGATTATGGCGGCCAATCACTGTCAAAATTCGAGAGCGCATATCAGGTTCATGAATCAAACATTCACCAGCAAAAGTCTGTCTCGCGCCATTTTTCTTCCCTCTTTTTTATCGCATGCCAGTCAGTGTAGAAACACACACGCCACTGTGGCAATATTGCTATTATTACATTACATTACAGGTCATTTAGCAGACCTTTTATCCAAAGCGACTTACATTACATTATTAACCCATGGCTTGAAGATAGGGGGGTTGTCTGTAAATTATAGTGTTGATACAATACATATGTTTAAGTACTGGTACAATAATGTTGCATTCTTTAGCCCAAAAAACACTAACATCATGAGGCTCCACACAGTAACCACTTCTCTGGCCTCCATTAACAGTTCTTAAATAGACACAAGAAGAAAAATGGAACGGCTCACTCGTATGCTGCCAAGGGGAAAGGAGTATATTTCTTTTAGTGGTGTGTCCAGTGTCAAAGTATCTAACTCCTTTATTTTAGAAATGAAAACCTTAGTTTGTTAATGGTCTAAAAATAAGCCGGTGAAAGTACACCATACACTTGAAATACAGGAACTTAATTTGTATTCCCATCATCTGGTATACGTTGCATCAATTAGACCGGTGTGGCTTTGTAAACCGTTCAATAACTTGTACATCTTTTGTGTGCCTTTGACCCAGGAGCCGATGGATGTCGTAGAGCTGTTTGGACTGAAGGGAGTTCAGCACACACCCATCAGCATAAAGAATGCCAGAGTGTCCCAGGTAAACCGCTTCCAGCTCCCCATTTGAGAGTTAACACACAACGCACACCACCTCTTCTCAATTAAAAATACCCCGAGGTAAACTAATTTATTACAAACGACTGAGCCACATACTCCTGGATTTCCTGTTTGGAAGACGTCCAGATGTTTAGCTTTTCTCTGCTCTGTCGCAGCACTACAAGGCGAGTCTAACTGCAACCTTCAACCTTCACCCAGTGAGTGCCTTGTTTCCTTTTGTCTCTTATCTCTCTTTAATGTGGTTGATGAACAACCGTAACATGTGCGAGCTATTAAAGTAAATTTTATTTATAGTACTACTACTACTTTATAGTACTTGTCATTGAATACCTCAGACGTCTCACCCAGTATGTTTCTTTACCAGGAGGCCAACTTTGCCATCGTCATAGAGGAAGACTTGGATATCTCCATCGACTTCTTTAGGTACGTCCTTGAGTATCCACAAACACTACTCAATATAACTGATTCATCTATTATACATGAGATCGGTCAAGCGTAGATTTTTTGGGGGGTTTTCCAATAGTCTCAAATGTAACGATTCACTACTTTTCTCTTTGTACTGCATAGTAGGGGTGGGAATCTCTTGGCACCTCACGATTCGATTCCGATTCAGAGGTCAACGATTCGATTCTAAACCGATTATCGATGCATCTCGATTTTCTAAATTTTCTCAAATCTGAGTTTGCTACTCAGAGGTTGCTAATCACTTCCTACTTTATTTGATAATTAAAGAAAATCAACAGATGAATTACCTTCTCTAATTCTTTTATGAGAAAAAAAAGCTTTGTCACAAATATGATTTTCTATCAACAATGCAAGAACCAATGCAGCTTGCATTTCAACACAATATGGAAGTAGCCTATGTAAAAAAAATATTAAACAGAATAATTTTTCTTTTAAATGAAGAAAAAGCTGCTCTTAGTTTCAGACCGGTCCGTATTTGTAAAATACCGGAAAAAAGTGCAAATCTGTGAATATCTTGCCAACTTTCAATATGGCTCGACTTTTTGGAAAATCTAAATAATGAGGTAAGATGTGCGCAGGCTCCTTCATAGTTCGGTAAAGTTGGCAAGATATTCAGATTCAGACTGACGGACCGGTCTGCGAGCTGGACGCATTGCTCTTAATGTGCCGGTAATGATGGTAAATGAAGGTTGTAGCTGGTTGTCATCTACGGTTACCGAAGGGGGGCGTTTTTTGACAACGTTTTATCTCATAATTTCACTTTTTATCCCCTTTCATTAGTGCGGAAATGGGCTTCTATAGTTGAATGCATCACTCCAGCCAAAACAAAGACGGGGTTTGTAACCAATCGGGTGTAGAGACCATGGTGACTGGCTCCGCCCCCTCACTGTCAAAAAGAAAAACAGCGAGCGAGTAGAAAACACCTTCGAGCGCGAGCAGAGACTAACCGCGAGCGAGCAAATATCTCGCCCGAGACGGGCTTTTGCTCGCGCGAGACACTTTTTTTTTATGCCGATTTATTAACTTTTCTGAATCGAGACCGAATCGTTCTAGAGACAATTGAGAGAAATCGAAAAATCGACCATCAACCATTTTTATTTAATTATTTTCCTATTTTCTCACGTTTCTTTTATTAGGGCATTCAGTCTCTTCTGAATGCACACAATTCCTGTCTTTTAATGGATACATGCCATGATAAACAGTTCATTTCTTTTTTTATACGGAGCCCCTTGCTACCGTGTTAAACAGCGTGTTCTCGACTTCACAGCATCAGCAGAGAGAAAAGCACAAAGAGCCTCAGCTAGCAGAAGCCCCACTAGGGGGCAGCGGATCCTCGGTGATAAAGCTGCAATGGGCTCTGTCAGAAACCCCAGTGTTCTTTCTTTCGACGCACTTTGCTTTGAACTGTGCGTTTTTTAGCTGTAAAAGTTCCTGCTCCCCTACTCGGCTGAGCTGTCCACTTAAAGCACTCCGTCTTAGTGTCAGGTCGCTCTCTAAGATGGAGAGTAGTGAAACACCAAAATGAGCATTCCGGTCAACAAAGACAGCTTGTTATTTAGTTAAGTGTTATGTAATGATGATAATATGCTAGTGTGTTTGGGAGTCCTCGTGTTGAGTTGCAGATATCGATCCGTAGAAGTGCAAAATTTTCGTACATTTTAATATCAACAATAAAATATAAATGGTATCAGATTTGTATATGTCTTCTCCCTTCTATACAAAAATGAATACTAACTTCGTACTGACCTGCTGCTCGCCTGATGTTTAACCTGCACAGAGCAAACATGTTCTTTTTTCACATTTTGGGGGCCTCTGCATTTGCCATGAAAAAGTGCATTTGGGGTTTAATGATCTTTTATAATTTGGGATCAACATTTTTACCGTCTTAACTAACACATTTTAAAAGATAGATATTAAAAAGAGTAAGTATTACACTGTCCTCCCTAAGTTTATCGTGACTATCGGTTTACTGAACAGTTTTTAATTATTATTTTTTTAACGTTTGAATGATTTCATTGATCTTGATCAAGTGCTAATATTACCTTTCTGTACCTCCCATCAGTTTCCTGAGTCAGACCCTCCACCTGTTGGAGGAGGACGACAGCTTGTACTGTATTTCAGCCTGGAACGACCAGGTGAGTGGCGACTGCCTCACCTGCTCAAAATGTGTCAGCCCTTCAACCTACGTCTTTTCTTGTGACATGTTTTTTTTTTACCTCTCTGCTATTTACATACTGCGGTTACTTCTTTTCATCCTATACTTGCTGTAACACACACATATGGCTTAGTTCAGACATGATAACCATCTCAACATCTCTGGCAGTTAATTGGTAGTTGAGTGACCTGAACAATAGAGCATTTGATGAGGTGATCTATTGGTTCTCTTTCAACCCGAAGGTGTAACTCAATGTTCACAGTGGGGACAACAACAAGATCTGTCTATCTAAAACATTTGAATGAGTCTCGCACACTCTTATTTATTTCCCTCGTTTCATTTTCTCCCTGCCCACTGTTTGACCAGCAGACTTGACGTCCACAGAAATTCTTTGTGCGTGTGTCAGCTGCTGTGATGGTTTTTGTCGTTGTGCAGGGCTACGAGCACACCGCGGAGGACCCGGCCCTGCTGTACAGAGTGGAGAGTATGCCCGGCCTGGGCTGGGTGCTGAAGAAGAGCCTCTACAAGGACGAACTGGAGCCAAAGTGGCCGACGCCTGAGAAGGTGCAGCTTTTAAGAATTAAACATAACAGTTGACTTTGTAGTCTACATACTTGCTGACCAGATTCAAAATTGCATCTATCGGCTTTCCAAAAATTCATTGCTTTGACTAATTTCTTAGAAAGGGATTTGGCTTGAATTTTTTTTATGTGTTGACTTTTGCAGGCAAAGTTAACGGCGAGCATCTGAAGAAAGTTTTAACTACTAAACAGCCTGATATGGTTTAGAGTTGGCGAACACTAAACCAGAGATTATTATGTGAAGAGATTATAGAGTGTGTATGATGTGAGTGTTTGTCTTGTAGCTGTGGGACTGGGACATGTGGATGCGAATGCCCGAGCAGAGGAAAGGCCGAGAGTGCGTCATCCCCGACGTGTCCCGCTCCTACCATTTTGGCATCATCGGCCTCAACATGAACGGCTATTTTCATGTAAGACCTGAGAAAGCTTTTTTGTGCTTTTTTTTTTTTTTTTAATGGGTCAATGATACGACATAACACTCAACCCTCAGCGGCACAACTCACTATTTATTAGCTGTCTTTATTGACCCTTTTCAAGGTAAAACCTAGACCAGGTGATGTGTGTGTGTGTGTGTTTGTGTATATATTAGTCTAATTGAGCTATTTCTTCTCATAGGAGGTATATTTCAAGAAACATAAGTTCAACACAGTTCCCAATGTGCAGCTGACGAATGTGGACAGGTGTGTACACTCGTCATTTCTGCTACAACAACAATAATTGAGCCACACAATGACCGTCTGTGTTCTTGTTCTTGACAGTTTAAAGCAGGATGCTTATGAAGTGGAGATCCAAAACCTGTTTAAGTGAGTGAGATGAAAAATACTATGATTTAGATTACGTTATGAAGTTATATTTATGTTACACAATGCGTGTGTGATCTCAGGGAAGCGGAGGTACTGGACCACACAAAGAACCCGTGTGAGGATTCCTTCCTGCCGGACTCCGAAGGGAAGACCTACGTCATGTTCATTAAGATGGAGACAGAGACAGACACCTCCACCTGGACAGAACTCGCCAAGGTAAAACGGAGCGGGAACACTGACTCTGTAAACTTGAGCGCGTCTTCAGGAGTATGATAAGATCTCTGGTCTTTCTGCGTCCTCTGCACAGTGCCTCCATGTTTGGGACCTGGATGTCCGGGGATACCACAGAGGCCTGTGGCGGCTCTTCAGAAAAAGGAATCACGTCCTGGTGGTGGCAGCGCCAATCTCCCCGTACTCGTAAGTGAGAGCGCTAATGCTGCATTCGCATCGATGCCGTGGTCCGTGGTCATGACGTTTGCACACGGACAGCAATTCAATGAACGCATCCAGCTACGCCGACTTAACTTAGATTGTAAACAAAGATGTGTACGTGTCGTCTGTCCACTTGGAAGCTAATGGGGGGTCTTTGCAGCTCCATGTCTACACACACACACAGGTGTAACAGCTTCTTGGCCTCCTAAGAGTACCTCAGGGTATATATGGTTGATAATACGATTCCATGTGGCTAGTTATCTGTGCAGCACTGACCTTGTATTGTGAGTAAGGTCAGCCTGTAGCACCGAGTCTATCATTAGCGCCACAGCCTCAGCTGCAGTATTGAGTTTTGCGGCCTCTGGTTCCCGAAGGTCCTTCTGTTGTATGAGGGGCCAAGCCAACACCCTGCTTATACCGTGGGTTGAATGAAAGCAGCCCTGAATCAATGTTTTCTCCTAGAAATTGGAGCAATGACTTCTTTGAAAGGGGTGAGTCTAATTTCCAGCTTGTGCCGAGGCACAAGCGTGACGGACGGCTGAATCGCTTACATTTGGAGTGTGTCTGCTCACTCTGACACTTGTGAAAAGGGAGGCTGAACATCTGAAGCACAGGTGGCTTATAAGAGCAATGACTCTTGATTTGGAGGTTTTGGGATACGTCCCCGCTTAAGGAATTGAGTTACACAATTTTGGTGAAAAATGGGTCTTGAATTTTTGAATTTCATGCAAGACGGATCCCTGTCATCTCGGTGTAGTTTGCAAAGTTGGATTTTAGACCTAGCGTTTGCATTAACAAGTTATTTTTTTAAAGATTTATTTGTTGTTGTAAAGCAGCGACAAACATTTTCCGTTTCGTTCTGGTTTTTCAGGCCACTGTAGTACAAAACATAAGATGTTTTAGATTTCTTTTTTTACTTTTTTTTTAAGGTATCGACCACAATTTCTAAGAAAACGCAAAAATGTCTCTATCTCTCAACACTTCCTTTCCTCCCCCCCCCCTCTCTTTCTCTCTCTCTGTCCATCTCCTTGTCTCATGACCAGTGTGAAGAAACCAGCCAGTGTCACTCCCATTCACTTAGAGCCTCTGCCCAAAGAAGAGGGAGCACCGGTGGAGCAGATGTAGACCTGATGTTACAGACACACACACACACACACACACACATACTTCAACCAGGCCTTAACTCTCTTCACCAACAACCACTAGTGATCCCACCTGGGATTCATAAGGACAACGCCGTTTGGACTTTCCTTTGATGTGAACTTGAGTACAAGAGGATAGCTGGGAAATGAAGTCCCTATCTTGATTAACAAACAAAATGCACTGTTTTATCCGTCCAACAGCTTGACACGAAGCGATGATATTGATGCTAACTAGTTTTGATTAAACGTAAGTGACCGACTGAAACCGTATATGACTGTCAACAGCTGTGTTTATTTTTGTTTCTACCACAACTGTTGGCTGATCTGCGGTCTCAAAAATTTAAATTCGACCTGTGACTTTTTAACAAGTACTCCACAGATGACATGGACACACTGACGCCACCAGATGGACCGTTTTTCTCAGTTAGATGTGTTTAACTACTGAGAGCCTTGTTCATTTTTTTACATGTATTTTAACTTATCTCTATTTATTTTACATTTATCAATCGAAACAGGCATTCAATGGTTTTATGGCTTTTACATTTTCTTTTTTTAGATCCAATTTCCTCAAGATCAGTGCATTTCTAACAGATGTTTACAGTTAATAAAATAATAATGTACATATAAACCTATATATTTTTTAATAGAAAATGTAAAGGGTCAGAATATTTTCCAGCATTTATAAGAGTTCATGAAAGCCCTGTGGGTTTTTGCTATTACTCGATATTGGCTGAAAGAGACAAAAATATGATATTTAGAAACACTCTTCAATTTGAAACAATGTAACGCATCATGCTGACTTGATTGTACCATGCTTTTGTCCAAAGGCATCATTTTTTATATTTTATCAAAAGGTTCCTTTACAATTTTGATCTCACACTCAAAACTTATTTTTTGTTTATTTTTGCTTTATTTTTGTATATGAGGAATTGATTATGCAGTTCTTCGCATATTTAAACAGTTTTCCCAACTGTTAATAATCTTGTTTGAGACAAGATCTGAATCTTTTAATAAGATACAAAGTCTCAGTCAAAATATCTTGTATATTTTTTTTAAGCATTCATTGTGTGTGGTGCAATTGAGATCAAACCACAAAATAAGCTATACTTTTACACCTCTGCAGTTTATCAAAAAAGGTTTGAAACGCTAATGAAATCAAAACACTGATGGGTTTATTAACACCTAAGTGGTTAAAAACACCAATGTAGCTATAATCTAAAAGGGCATTTTTTTTAAATCAACAGTATTGAGGCGTATTTCTGACATATCGTGAGCTGGTGTAAAACAAATGTCAAAAATATATATTGGTGGTTGTGTGCTATGATAGCTGGTTTGTCTCCTACCAATACCTGCTCTTCGATGTCTGTTAACTGTCATTTAAAACAATGACGCTGTTAATAATTAACAATTGTCCCCAAACTGTTTGATCCTACTTTCAAATAATCGGTCAACAGTTCGTGCTGGATTTTCTTTTCAGGATCATTTTTTTTCCTTCCCTGAAAAGTGAGAATTTTGATGCTTTACTGACCATTTCCAGCTGTTGACATTATGAAACACTTGTTGAAGCACTTTAAGCTTATACGTATTTAAAAATTGCTGATGGGATTTTGGAGGTTTCATAATCAGCATTTCTAAAACACCATCTGGTTTGGTTTTGGAATTCCTACTCCAATGCTGCATTTTTATTTGGTCTTTTCATTAACCTGTGTTATATTGGCAGTTTGTGTGCATCTCTCTGACAATTACAATAATTTTCTCCTCAGCCGGACAATTAATTTAAAGTGTTTTGCTGTGATCAAGTTTTCTCTTTGAGGTCATACCCAACTATATGTTTTAATAATTCATACAGGAGGAATTTTTATTGGTGCATATTATTCATGGCATAAAGTCGGTGCTGTTGTTATTCTTGGCTCTGATTGTTGTACTTGTGTGGCCTCTCGCTGCCTGCAGATTTCCCCAGAGAGCTCCAGGCAGCATGCGGTGAGGGAAATGTATGCAAATCCTCTGGGCTCATTGGATTTCTGCAGCCATTGCGGTCCACCAAGGACAAATATGGCTTTCTGTCCTTTTGAGCTCTGACTTTCATAACCTGTGATCTAATAAAGCGGGATAGATTTGCCTCTAATCAAGGGCTGCTGCACATAAAGTCCTATTTTTGGAATTCACCTTTGCCTGTAGAATCTTTAATCTTAAGACCTGATGCTCGGGAATTTCTAAGGGTTTCTCTCCCACCTTCAAAGCAGCATTTCGTTTCCATTTGTTTCAATGCTTTTGAAAGTCAGCTTGAAACTTGAGTTTAGTAATCTGTTACGCTTACCATGTTGACTAATACTAATGTCAAATTCATGGTATTGTTTGGTAATTGCCGGCAGAGTTGTGCAAATTCTATCCTTGTGGAAAGTTGAAGTGTATTTGTATATAATCTTCCCTTTCCTCTTCTACAAAACTAAACTCGTGGTTAAAAGTCAGATCCTTTTCTTGTTTTTTTCTTTTGTCTTTATTTAGTCCTTTTATAAGTGAGGTACTAAGTATTTCAAGTTGGCTACAAATCTAAGGATATAAGAAGTGCCCTTATGCAAAATCATGGTAAATGATTCTCCTGGAAAGTAAAGAAATCACTTCTGTCTCGTGAACAAGTGGGACTTTGCTAAAAGGAAATTCATGGCGTTGTTGCTATTTTGCCCCCCTGTGTGCCCAATGTTTGCAGGGATGGAACTTGGTCGGGTGCATTTCGTGCCGGGCTGCAGGCAGACGCTTGAGTCTGTTATCTATTGAGCACATCATTTCTATAAATAATCCATTATGATTGAAAACCCCTGAGGGGGCATTAACACCGACCCATTCGTTTTCTGTCTCATCAACAAGCACCTGTGTGAGGTGTTAATGAAGTCTCATGTTTGTCAGTTTGTATTTCTGAACCATTCTGCTGGAAACATTTGCGCCACGTCTAATTAAGATGGACGCTATGACTGAATACGAAGCGATCGCTGTTGTGTGTGATTCTGTGTTCTGCACTGACTGACGGGGCCACCAGCACCACCGTGTAGCTCATTTTTTCTCCACCAGGCATTAGTTTCATTGTCTGCACACTCGCACATCTGTCCTCCCCAGGTCGTGTGTGTGCGCGTGCATGTGTTTTTTTTTGTTTTGTTTTGTTTTTTTACTGCATTTTAAAACGTCATTTTTGACCTATTGAGCATTCTGATGAGCCGAGCTCAGAGGCTGATGGCAGAAATGTGGATTGAATATTGATTTTGTGTATGTGTGAGTTAGGGAGCCGGTGGTTACTGGTAAACATGGAGCTCAGCGGCACTGAGACATTGACCGATTTAACTCTAAATACCTGCCAGATCTATAATTGGATGGAAGAACAAACTTGGTTTGTCTTAATGCTCTTTTTCCTTCCCCGTCCCTTCATTTCAACGAACCGTGTTGCCATGAGAGACATTACTGCATCACCACAACAGAATTCATAGTACGACGAAATTATGACATGAAATGGAAATGTGAGCACTAGGGGTGTAACGATTCATTCAGTGAATCGATTAATCGATTTATATTCCTGCGATCCAACCGATCTGTGCTCCGCAAATCGGCATTCCGGACGACATATACCGATTACAAATCGATTTAAATGGTACATAATCGATTGTATCGATACTTGGAAACTGCACATTGGATTTAAGTACAAAAACTGTATGGATGGATGTGTGTTTGTTTGTTTTTTATCACATGTGACGTCATCAGTACGCAGCGGCAGCCGCGCGAAACTCGGAACAACAACAAAACACAGCGTGGCGGAGACGACTGCGAGCGAGACATTTACAAACTAACTTATCGATTCAGAGCGTGGAAAGATTTTGGCTTTTGCAAACACAGAGGTGTTCTAAATAAGTCGGTCGCTGTTTGTAGAATATGTAGAAGCCAAATGAAAAAACACAGAAACACGACAAATCTTTCCGGCCATCTACTAAGGCGCCGTGGGATTAAACAACGCCGACAGTCAGGACCTCTAGCAGCGTCACCGCTGCAGCAGCAGCAGGTAACTGCAGCTCTGCAGACACCTCAGGCCTCGCCAGCACCAAACTCACATCACAGTAACAATTGCCAAGTTTAGCTGTAAAGACGTGCGACCCTACAATGTGGTTGAAAATCCGGGGCTCTGTAAATTGATCCAAACATTGGGTAATTATTGGGTAATGTTTACATTGAAAATGGCACTTGATTCAAAAGGTTCATACATTTGCCATCAATTGTTGTTTGCTTGTTTATAAAATCCATAATTAATTTAAACCTGATTTCCTTACAAGAAACAACATGGATCTAAAACTTTGCCTGCACTGTCCAGTAAAGTTACTGAATTGAATCGTTCTAAATTCACACAGATCGTCCATGAATCGAATCGGCAACCATGAATCGCGATTCGAATCGAATCGTTGTTAAAATGAATCGTTACACCCCTAGAGAGCACTCATCTTGCCTTTATCTTCCATTGTTACTGATTTCAGTTATGTTATACAAAAAAACATGTAGGGATGTTCATTTCTCTATAGAATGTGTGACTTGGTAAAATACCAATGGTAGATTAACGATTGCCTTTTTCCACGCCAATCACACACGTAGCAACGTTAGCATTCATTTGCGCTGTTTGCAACCACTTGAGTCCTTTTTAGTTCAGTTTTATTCTCTTTCGACTCGTGAGAAACTTCCGTTCACACCGGATAGTTCTTCATCTATCCCTTACGGTCTACCTGCGGTTCACTGCTGGGTCTTTAGACCTCTGAGGATTTAACAGCAGTTATTTGCCGACAACGTAAATCCATAAATGATGCTGATGTGAGCTGAATCATAAAAGGAGGAATTTGGCCTCGAGTCCAAAACCGTGAGCTGAAAGCTGCTGTGTGGAGATGAAGGCAACGGCTCTGTTTTACAACCGATGAGCTTAAAGAACATTTACTAGGAATTGGAAGGATCTCTTCTCTGAGACTTGCATTCAATACATTATCGTTACAGAATTCATCTCTTTGCCAGCCAGACTGTGAATTAGCGATCTTTGTCTGTTTATCTTCCTGTCAGTCATTCTTTTTCTCACACAGCAGCTTCATTCGCATCAGTCTCTCCGATTGCAGTTTTCTTTTCTGTCGCACAAACGGTGCGATGAAAGGACAAATTAGGAGCAATGGATACGCTGCTGTGTGGCTTCTTGGACTTCCAGTGCTCACTGTTCACTCAGCCTTGTGTCACAATGCAAGCACTGTGCATGAGGGCAGGAGATGGAACATTGATGAATAGTAAACGGGACAAAGGAAAAGCTGCTGCAGTTTCCTGTCAATTCCTTGGGCTGTTATATATTTAAATAAAGACGTGTGTTTAGGTAAATAACGGTTGTAAAATCGTGTTCATGTAGAAAAAAAAGGATAACTTGTGGTGCTTTCATTTATTGCATCTCTAGGATGTCTCTTTGCATTGCTTTGTGGTCATTTTGCACCTTGTGATTGTTTTGCATCTCTTCAATGTCACTCGGCAAAGGTTTGCGGTGGTTTTGAGTCATTTGCAATCGGTTTGCATCTCTTTGTGGTCGTCCTGAACATCTTTGATCGCCCTTTATCGCTTTGATTTCTCTCCTAAGCAACGCTTTGTTTTGTGCCCCTTTTGCTCGTCATGCATGCTTACTGCTTTGTGGTAGTTTTGCGTTGCTTGCTGCTTGTCAGCTCGTCTCAAACTGTGTTTCTGATGCTGGGCAGCTGGTTTACGGTGAGTTTACACCTTGTCCTGGAAACACCGGGACTCCGATGGGACCAAAAGGAGCAGCTAAAAAGAGTTCTGACATTCAGACATGCGGTTCAGAACTACACGCATCTCCTTTCAGGAAAGACTAACTCACTGTGGCACCATAGACTTTTGTAAAAAAAGGGTGAGTAGTCCATAAATAATGTAGAGTAGGCAATCAGGTGAATGCACTCACCGCTGTATAACTGAGGTTAGAAATATTTTATTTGGCAAATATGAATTATTTAAACTCTGCAGGCGCAGATATAGACAGACATACACACTGCACATTGTTTCAATACTTAAATGATTATATTAAAGCCTTCTCTTAAAGAGGAAACCACAAAGACCGTTAAGAGACAGAAAATAAATAATGCAGAATAATGAACAAATCCCATGTGTATGTGTAGTTCCCGTGTTGTGTCCCTGATGGAGTCTCAGTTAATTCTTTTGTCCAGGTAGCAGTACAAGTACATGGACACCACCATTGCAGCAATCTGAAGAAAAAGTATCGCACAAATGTTATTGTTTTTTGCATTATTATTATTGGGCTACTAAAACGGCAGATCGGCTTAAACATTAAACGTCCAGAGTAATAACAAAGACCAGAAAACTACTGATCACATACACACTGTGTTATCATGTCACATATTCTACCCTCATCAAAAGGTTCTGTACATATTGTGATTAATACACACATTGTACTCCTCATACCACATTTTACAATAAAGATACAGTATTGGCAACACAGATTTGAACCAAGACACTGCCTTGCATTTGGAATTTGGTTTTTAGGTTTTATTTATGTACCAAAGGACTGACTCGCTTACATTTTATTTATTTTTTTCCAGAGTTTAGCCTTCCCTTTCTGTGTTAATTTACCTGTAATATGCCAATTCCTGCTGCGATGCCTCCCGCGATGTTGGCTTGTTCTTTGAGGGTCTCCAAGATGTGGTCGAAGCAGCCCTAAGCAAAATGTTTGTGTAAATGGGATGACAAATTGACATCGTACAAATACGACAAATGATAGTGGGATAAAGAAAAACATTCCCTAATTTTATTTAATACCTTTTTAGTAAGAAAATTAACCCTTAAAGTTTGTGTTAGCGAACTGAAAGGGTGCAGTGAAATTATGATCGGTGTATGTTGACGATTTAGTGTTGTTTTTTTGGATTTCAGACTGTTATCGAATTTGGATATCGTGAATTGTGGCATCTACTTGGCACTCCTCTATTTCGGGCATTGTCAATATTCCAACATCAATGTTGCCTGTTCACGAATGTGAAATAAGATTTCCCGGTGTTGAAAATATTCCATGTCTACAACCAGCGATTTGTTCACACGATCTGCAAGTAGCGACGCTTTGAAGCTCACGTGCACGGCGCTGCGCTCGGCATCGTTCGGGCTGCAGGGGGCGCCGCCGGTCCGGCAGCAGCTGGGCGGCAGGCTGCCTCCGTTCTCCTCTACAAACTTGGAGCCGACAAAGTCTTGGTGGTTGGACAAACCGCAGCACTGCAGCTGGGAGAGGGAAGAGCAGTGCAGGAACACGCTTTAATCCCCAAGCATTGTCTCTCCGTGTGGAACCATTTAAACCTAATTACAGTGTAGTGAGAGCCTGTGAGGAGAAGATGTCGGCTAATCTGTCGCTTTGTTTTGTTGTGCGTTTGTATTCCGAACAAATCTGTATTCACTGTGTTGCATTCACCCGGTCGGGCAATCGAAAGGTATTTAACCATTGAAAACCTCAAGTAACCATAACTCGTTCTCTGGGGCACCGCGTTACTTTGAGTTTTACAAAGAAGTTAAACGAATGGATCAGAGAAGACCGATGTTGTACACAGTTTACCGTTCTGTGAATGCTTCAGTTGGATCTTATTTGTTGCTTCTGTTATTCGTTTACTGAAGGTCAGCGATAACATCATGTCTATTAAATCAACCCTCAGATCCGCTGGGTCACTGCTTACTGTTTTTACTTTTTTGTTTTTTATTGCATCTGTATTTCTTAATATGAACCACTAAAAAATAATAGACTGTCAAATGTATTCCGTTTATTGGAAATGGAGATGCGGTCAACTCATAGTTTTAGTTGGTTTGTGGATTCTCAAATTTAAAAGTAGTTTTTGTTTGCAAACAAATGTCTGCAAGAAGATGTAAGCTGAATGTGAAGCCTAATCATGTGGTTTGAAATCGGCAAAGAAACTACGTCATATGCAGTAGTTTAGAGCTGTGAAAAATGCAAACGTAGTATAATAGTACAAAAGTGAAGTACCTCTGTCATGGTCGTATTCCAGATGTTCGTGACCGTCGGATCACTACCGTAATCTTTCTGTAAAGCAGGGGTCGCCCACGCTCGGATGACCTCCTCTGCCTGAGAACACACGCATTGCAAAGACACTTATTGGCATTCTGTGTTCCCCCTTAACTTATAAAATAGCATCACTTAAAAAATAATTTTCTTTTTTGATTTCTTTTCAGAATTTGTTCTCATTACAAAATACTATAAGGCTCCATCAAAATAAAAAAAATTAGATTTAAAAAAGTTAGAATGCTCGGCAAGAGGCGTGAGAGCGTCGCTATGGTGATGGCAACAAGCCAATGGCGCGCTTTGTGATCACATGGGCATATACAGGAACGGTGGGGGCAAAGACTAATGAGAGGTTTGTTTACAATATTTTATTTAAAATATCTTTTCCGAGCGAAATGCTCTCTGCTATGAAGGCTCAATGTAGCCCCGTCCTGCCCGATGTCCTTGGGAAAGCAAATACTTCATAACGCCTGGATACATTGATCCGTCACAAACACAGGCAGAAGCAACCAAAGGGATTTGTGTGTATTAGACTTGTTAAATCAACCTTGAATTGTTTTTTTTGTTTGTTTGTTTTTTTCATCAAAGAAGATGCAAATCTGCCAGCGGCAGGGGAATTTAGCGACCAATTTCATCATCTAGAATAATGTATCCTAATGAATCTCAAATCTTTGCAACTAAAGCTGTCTAAGTGTAGTGGAATAAAAGATGGGTAATATTAGAATGTAAGTGGTAAGTAACATAAAATGCAGTAATATATATATTCATAAATTAAATGTATATGATATAAAACTACCTCAATTTTTTTAAGTGCTCTGCTTATGTATACTTTTACATTTCACTTTAGATTTCAGAATAGGAAACGGAACAAATTATACAAGACTTAAATTTCTCTTTATTTTCAATAAAATTCTGCATTTAATTTTTAATTCGTATATCTATTTATTTTTTGTACTAAAGCATATTGAACTTCATGGGAAATATGTTGTTTGAACATGGTGTTATTAGCATTGTCAACACTTTTAATATAGTTTATCTAAGCAACAGTACATAGATTAAACTATTATCAACAAAAAACGATGTATCAAAAACCCTGTTTCCTCAGCACCAACGGATCAGTGTGATAAGAGCCCCATTCATGCAAATACGGTCTTGTAGATTGTTTTAAAAGCACTTCTCTTTACTGCAGATGTCCAACAGTGTTGTCCACATACACAGACTTCAATATCCAAATAAAATACTGCTGTTGATTTCACAGGCAGGAAAAGTCATTCTCTGGGAGTCACCTATTCATCAGAAATTAAATAAATCTCCCACACAAAGCACGAGGGAAATAAGGAGCTCCGGTCTGCATCTGGAAAAAATGAAAATAAATCAAAAAAAGACCTGCCATTATTCTCCATTCTTCTTTTTTTTAAGGTCGTGAAATGTGGGGGCATTAACATATATATTGATGTTCCTGATGGCTCTGGTCAGGACATATTTTGTCTGCTATTTGTGTTTATCCAAAGTGCACAAAAAGGCCACTTTACGGTTGAGGCCGCAGGAGAGTCTTTTGTTGGGAAAGAATTCCTTTTGCAAACACACAGGTTGGTTCTTTCACGGCCGTCCTCCTCCTCCTCCTCCTCTCTGCCTCGGTCAGTTTTTTCCCCCTTTTTTGATTAATAATCCTGTCGTGTACAGGCACACAAAGACCCATTTGATGAGCGTGAGTGTGTGTTTTACTGTATGTGCACGTGGCCAAGTGCAACTGAGTGTCTATCAGGTCGATGTGACGGAAAGGGCGTCTTTTTTTCTTTTGTGTGCGTGTGCGCACAGTGAAGGGGGGCAGGCGACAAAAGATCGGCCCACGGATGGAATACATGCCACAATTAAAAATGCCCCCCCAAGAAGCTGCGAAAGTGGCTGAGATCAGAGAGTGTTATTACCAGCCGGATAATTCATCACTGTCACTCTGCCCCGCGTCTCACCACATCCTGTTAGACACACACACACACACACACACACAGAGGGGCAGGACAAAGCCTACAGTAACACGGCACACCGAGGCGGGGGGGCGATAACACATCTATCAATACAGTCAAGTCCTGCTACACACACAATACAAATCTCCAGCTTCATGTGTTTGTTATTGATCTCACTTTGCTTCACTGTGTGATGCAGCTCCTGAAATGAGTATTAGTATATTTTTATTTGTTACTTGTTGGCTGCTAATTGGTTATTGTTCTTAAGTGGAAAAGCAATACACATGAACCCAGTAGTTTACATTCAGCTGAGCGTTAAGACAATATTTGGTGACACTAGACCTAAAACACAATTTCCATTGACCTTTTTTTTAGGTCTATAGAGAAATTATATGAAAAAACATTCAAATAAGGTTAATGGAAATAAATATTTGGAATGCACCAATTTGTACTTTGACCTGCTGTTCATACTCTGCATATATTTATGTTCCAAGTCCGAGCTGAGCATCGCTTTAGAAGAAATACATTTACTGCTGTTCTAAAGGACTTTCAAGAACTAAACATCTGGAAAAAAAAAGATGTTACGTCTCCTGCTCAATAATACAGTTGCAACTAATCCAAACAAAATGGCTAAATATCCCGATGCTAATTTGCTCCGTAGAGCTGAGGGAAACCACAGCGTCGCTAATGACTCTGTGGTTTTGTCCTGAGGGACCCCCCTCCCCACCTCCCCCCCACATACAGTTGTGTCTTTCATTTTGAATTTGGTGCCATTGATTGGTGCTGCATCAAAGCAGAAGTAATCGTGGTTAATCATCTCGCATCACTTAAGCCAATCGTCCCCCTTTCTGACGAGTGACTAAAGCAAACGGCAGTCAGTATTGGATTACGTTTAGAGAGAACATTCCTTTACTGTCCAAGGACGTTGGTGTGATTCAATAAATGCCACATCACGTCTATTCCATCCATCCAGTGTGAAGTCCATATCGTCCCCGGGTATAAATCTCCACCCGGGTCACTTCGGAATCACTTCCCTCACAAAGAACAACCATGACCACTGACGGCCTCTCATAATGCCTGCTGGAATTGCTTATTAAATCTCAGTTATTCTGACCAGCTGAAGGTTATTGGCGCTTTGGTTAGATGAGCTGCCGCGGGCCCGGTGGCCAAAAGCCAGATTTATGCCGCAGATAAGTAGGACTGAATAGATCAGCGCTTTATTCATCCTCCCCCTTCAGTGTCTCCGCCTCTGCGTCTTACTTATTGACACTATATGTATGCATATTACGTGTATATTGCCCATATTCGTTATCCTGATGCTGTTGTGTTTACTGTGTCTTATCAAAAGCAGGAAATGGACATCTACTCCGACGCGCTCATGACCGCCGTGGACTTAACGATGTCCTTTTGTGTTTGTAATGAACAGCGGATGCTAAAGCAAAATAACCGCGGTAAATTGACGGAACCGTATCTGTGATCTCCCTCAAGAAGACGGATGTTGAGTTCTGTCTTCCATTTCACTGAGCCCTGCAGGCCAGCAGCAGTTCTCTCCCAGCTCAGCCCCCAAGGACACGTGCACACAAACAAACACACACACACGCACGCTTTGCTTCTTTGTGCGACAGCAGACACACCAGGGTTTGGCAGTATAGCTGAGAGAGAGTAAACACGAGGCAGAGCAGGAGATGTTAAAGGTCGACTGGTTTACAGCAAAACTGAAGGCCTCCTCTTATGGGTTCTGTTTGTAGTGAAGTCCAATCAAATATCACATTTTCTTTGAAGAAAGGGTTATTGCGTGAAAACTTCAAACAATTTTTAGAAAGGTTTTCTGTATCTCGAAAAAGCCGCTGGACGCAACGTCGATGCTGTCAGTGGAGATTTAAGTAAAAAATAAAATACAGATGAAAAAACTAGTTTGAATTTATCAAAGCACAAGAAATCGACAAGGACTGCAGCGTGAGTTATCAGCCTTCAGATCTTTGTAGTAAGCAAAACATCATTTTTTCATCACTTCATATTTCATAACAAATGTTTACTGGGAGTCATTTCTCCTGCTAATGAAAAGTGCATTCTGTTTGTCCCACAGACTCCCGCCAAGAATTGAGCCAAAAGCAAGAGACCGTTTTTACCGGATTTACTCTGATTATATTCATTGTGAAAAAAGGAAAATTTGTCGTCCTTGCTCGTTTTTCATTTTAAGACTTAAATTTGAAAGAAGTCGGTTAATTGGTCAAATTCCTGTGCTCTGTACTTATATGCGGTCTGTAATGTAGGGAACGTGTGTGTATGTGTGTGTGAGCGAGAAAGAGAAACACATATGTAAATAGGCTGTTTTGCATATAAAATGCTTTAGCTTCACTATTCCAGGGTAATAAATTGCTCAAAGTTAGCGACGGCGCGCACTGCTCGGGGCGATCCCAGAGTCATTAAGTAGCCGAATGTAGTGAGGCGGACATAAAGCCCGTAATTCAATGATGGCTGCGCCGATGATGGAGAATTTAACATGCAGATAAAATCCACAGAGTGGGGCGATGGGTTGAGCGGGTGAGACAGGATGGCCGAGAGGGACGAGACGAATTAAGAGACAAAGGGAGGGAAGTGAAGAGGAGGAGAAAGAGGGGTCATAGAAGGGAGGGGATGTGATGAGGCAGTGAATGAAGGGGAAGGGATAAAGAGGGGGAGACTTACAAATGAAGAGTAGACCAAGGCCACGACTCCAACTGCCACTTCAGCAATAAATATGATGAGGATGATGGAGAAGAACTGCAGGAGGGAAGAAGAGACAAAAACATTTTTTTCTTTCTTGCTTTCTGTCATCATATGAAAATATAAGGACAAGTCTGGAGCTGAAATTATCTATTTTTATATTTGCATGAGAAGGCACCACTGGGCCTCTCGTCAACATTTGCTCTGACGACGATTGGCTTGTTAAATCATAAATGTATTGGACAGTATTGAGCCCCTTTCCAAAAACGTGGAAGTCAAATAAAGTACTTTACGGATTTATATTTTAAATTTCAAGAAGCTCGTGAGGTTTTTAACCACCAACACACGTGCACAATCACAGAGTGTGGATAAAGCTTGGCTGATTACGCAGAGGGGCAATAAGGAGACGCGTAGCCTGAGTGATGCCCTCTACCGGCGCATCCATTGCGGTTCTCCCGTCCATTACAGCTGTTGATCACGCGAGGCAGACATTCACCGCGTCCTGCGCCGTCAGCCGCAGAATCCGCTGCGCCGTCATCGCTCACCTGGATTGGACATGTGGACATGATGAGGGCTCCACAGGGGCAAAATGCGCTGCCTGTGCTCCTCATTAGACTCACCGCAGTGGACTAAGAGGTGGTTAGCCTCACCGCTAATGGGTCTGAATGTTGTGGGAGGGCCGGATGGGGCTGTTATCTGAGCTCTTGATGAGCTTTGGGTGAAAACGCAGGGATTGCGTCCAATTATTGGCATTTTTTAGCTCAGTTTTTTTTTTATCTCCACCAACTCCGGGGAGGCTCATCTTGCTCTGTAACTGCCGTTTGTTTCACAATGCGGAGCAGCTTCTTTCCGACTGTGTCTGTCTCCTCTTTGCCGCCGGACAGGAAGTGCACAAACACTGTTTTTAAACCGTTTCACTAGTGCACTAAGTGCCGTCACGTACATAAACTGTGTATTTTACACCCACTGTGAGCAGCAGACACTTGCTCTCCTTGTGGGCCCCGCAACAGCCCAGGAGCCCCAGCAGCAACAGCCCGGCTCCGATGACGATGCAGAACAAGCCGACGTTGACAAACTGCAGGCCTTGGCCGGAGAACGGCCCCAGCACCCGGAGGAAGGAGCCCTCGGCCGCGCTCACCCAGATCCCCACGGCCAGCAGGGTCAGGCCACCCAGCTGCGGGAGAGTGAAAGAAAACATACATCCGGGCAACCGGGAATCAGTAATGCAGCGACCGCGGCAAACCCCTGTCATTCATCAAAGTAGGACGCTAAGCCTTCCGCCGGCGTCCCGGTGGATTTAGTACACACTTAGTGATGGTCAAAAGGCAATCTTTGCATGGGTTTATTTGCTCTTGAGGGTGTAATAGGATTTTGGAAATGAGAGGCCATCTTACACCGGTAACCCTCTCTTACTAATACCTGGCAGTGACACAATAAGACCTCAATATGGTTTACTCCTTTCTGAGGGCAAGATTACTCCTGTGAGACAGTGGTGACTGCCTCAGGCCCCCCGTTTTGCATCGAGGGCCGGAGCACCAACTTGGCCTCTTTTTTCCCTTTTTGAACCAAATGACTGACCTTTTTAGTCGACTGCCTCGACCCCCCCCTCCCCCCCTCCCCCCTCCGCCTCACACATGGAATCCATTTAGTGTTCATCTTGTGCTGCTGGTTAAAGCCAGCCTCGGGGTGTACAGGGGCGGGCTAGGGGATTATAGCTGGGACAGTCAAGGGGAGGGAGACATTCACTGCCTCCCCCTCACTTCCCCTTTGTACAACAGCTGTGTGGAAAGTCAAGTCACGGAACGGCTCCAACTTCAAGCCAGCCAAAGTTAATTATGACGGAAAACCATCCGATTAGCAAAAGGACACATTTCTGTTTTGCGTTGCCCTGTGCATCTTATATCAAGCAAACACATAGAAGATGGGGACATTATAATCTTTTATTGAAGGCTATTTATCAAAATAAAAGCATAAATAACTTAACTTAAAATAACATTTTGAAATGGCGATAAGACAATTTACAGTTATTGTAAAGTTGTTTCATAATATCTGACTGTGTGAATGAAAAGGCAAGCAGCTAGTGCTTTCATGGGGGGTCACTGAAGTGTGTTGGCAGAAACCGACCCTTAAAACCAGCTCATAACAAACACAATCAAAGCCATGTCACATGTTTCATGTTACAGCCGGGAAACCACCTGATCCCACTGTTATTATCCCTCCCTGCGTGCCTCCCTCATCTCTGCACCTCTGACCTTTTCCACCTTTTCCTCTCCATCCGCCCCGCTCCCTCTCTTCTGTGTAGTTCACCATGAACTCCTCGCATGCAGTGATTTCTCCTCCTTCCCTCGGCCTGCTGCAGAGGGCATGTTTCCACCCGATATCGTCTGTCAGGCTGCATCAGACCCGTTGCAGTCGGGGGGCCCCCGCTGCTCTCCCCCAGGCCCCGACACTCCACATCTGCTGTCAGACGGTGACACTGCCCACGTGGGGGATCATCTCCCCTCTTCTTTTCTTCGTCTCCCTGTCTTGGCCCATGCAGCTCTATTTTTTTACTCCCCTCCATTCGCTCTGCCTCGCCCCACCTCTCACTCCGCGTTTTCTCTTTCCATCTCTTGAACCTGTTCAGTGCCATCGCCACACCGTTGACTAAATGTGATATGACAAGCATATTTCCCTTTAACTCCTCGGGTGCCACCATCATCCCTCCCCAAGTATAATTATAGCTGGCACAATGGCTTTTTTGTTGTAAGATGTCTAATCCCTTTGATGGTGTGCCTCGTGCAGGTGGTTGTCAGCAAAAGGACTGTAAATCAAAAAGTAAATCAGGTTTCTGAAAGAGTAAGGAGTAGAAGAAGCAGTGTGGTATCCATGGAGACGGGAAATAAAACCTATTAGGGTCAGAGGAGAGGGAATGGCCTCCAGGGGGATGTGAATGGAGAGAGAGAACGGGCACGGCCCACCCCGAATGAAATGGAATTGGTTCTCTTTGAGAAGGACGGATTGAGAAAAAACGTTTACAATCCCATTTTCATGAGTCTCATTACGGGGAGCAGACAATCCGATTAAGTTCCCTACGCTCGACCGTAGTTCTGTACAGCAGAACATGCACGGGACGCGCTGGGATGGGCCGAGAGGAGATGTACACTTGGTGCTGAAATCACAAACTTGCTTGTCACTGTTACTGTCTGTTTGGGAGGATGATGCAGAAATGGAAATGAGAATCAGAGTACTGGTCCTCGGGTTTTGATAATAACATTTCAAAAGAGCACAGCTTCCTCCTCCACCCCTCCTCCCCCCAGATCTTCATCCTTCTACTCTGGTTTTTCTGCTTTATTATTCATTGTTTCAACGTTCACTTTGAGTAATTCCGTCTTGGTTGCTGCCAATTATATTGCAGTTGTGGTGGCCCATTCGGTGCGATAACAGAGCACTGCTTGTCCTCCCCTGTGGAGTCAAAGGTCGGACTGCATCGCTCTACTAACCTGCTGCACTCTGCTGCATCTTCCTCCTCTGGCTTTCACACTTCTTCTTTGGTGTGTTCTGCTCTCTTCTTTATTTTCTCCGAATGAAACTCACGCTCAGGAAGAGCGTGAAGGAAACACATTGAAATTAAATTTGAAACAACCAGATAATTGTTCAATCCAAAAAGGGTTGGAAACTTCACTTTGACCAGATAGCAGCTTCACTTCAATGCAAACGTGATCCGGTTGACTTGAGAGGTAGAATGTTTATTTGAAGGCTGCCCTTTATTTCCTGGAAAGATGGATTCTCTCAATGCAAATTTGGACTCCGCTGACGAAGAGGAGGTGTAAAAATTGCTACGGCACACTTTGCGTCAAAGCTTCGTCCTTCAAGAGCGGGAGAGAATCTCTTCAGAGCTGCCAATACAAATTCATCAAGCATGGTAACTTGGGAAGAAATGGCAAATGGGGGGAAGTGATGACTTGAGCTTCACGGTGGGAGGCCAGGTGGGCCCGACTCGGCAGGCGGATTCAGCTCACCGTTGCCAAAGTTTCTCTCCATTTCACAATGCACATTAGTGATCGACATTAAGCAGAGGGAGGCAGGTGGAAAAAGGAGAGCCTTTGAAATTAAAGAGATGAAAATTGCTACGGTGGGGAGAAAGTGAAGGAGAAAGGAGCATCATTTGGGCCTTCGGGCTCAGCCATCCAAAGTGCTGGTGTTCCATCTGTTTACACTAAGGGGCGGCATGAAATTATTTTCTTGGCAACGTTTGGAAAGAAATCGTTTTGTCTGTTTTTTTTCTTCTTTTTTTTTTACACGTTAGTTTTCACATTAAGATTGAGCATAATCAATGAGCGCCCCCCTCCCCCCTTCTCCCTCCCCTCCTCATCTCACCCCAGCAAGCAATCAAAGCAGAAACATACTCACAAAGATAAGCAGGTTGAACAAGACCGTCATCAATTTGAAGAACGTGAAGAAGCCCATTTTAATCTGTAATAAACGGAGATGATAAATTATTGCACTTCCTCTTTCATCAGCGGACACCTTCTATCTCTCACTCACGCACAGTAATCACGCTCGCGCTTTCCTATTACATCCACCACTCCTCCGGGCAGAATTATCGAAAATTACATCGCTGACAATAATTCTTAATGATGACACACACAGCTGTGGGAAATGGTAAAGCTGTCTGTAAATGAGAAATCTATAAGAGAGGGACAGCCATAAAAGAAAGGAAGGTGCATGTAGACATTATGGCCAAACAGAAAACCAAATTTGTACCTTTTTTAGTGTGCTGATATTTCTTTGTATCCAAAGGAGCGCAGATTAAAACCAATTGACCTAAATAAAAAATAACACGTGAAAAACAAAAACAAAGAGAAGAAGCAGGATTTTTCTGTATCTTGCGGACAAGGTGTTTCCAGGTGTTTCCAGGTGTGGCGACGTGAGTGCAAAGCGGATTGTGGCTGGATAGATCAGTCTGCCAGCCTGTGGCAGCGATCGGTAATCCGATGGGCAGAGTGAGCGCGGGACCAGGTGCGGCCCCGGAGGATACAGGTGACAGCAGGTGGACGTTGTTCACGTGCAGAGGGGAGGAGCCTGAGAGGACAGGACAGGATCGCACCCTCAGGTTTTGCACATGTGCAGTTCCTCAGCCGTAGACCTGTCAGACCCTGAAAAGTAAAAGCGTTCCTGCACATAGGAGGAGAGAGTCGTATGACTATGTTGCACAACAAGTCCGTTTGACTTTTCCTTTGGTTTTGGCAGCTCTGTCATGCTCGCTGTTGGAACACGCCAACAACATCAGCCAACGTCACCTGAGATAGTAGAGGAGAGCTCAACAGAGATTTTAGTCAAACATGGTGATTTTCTCTGAGCCCATACGAGTCATTTATGTCTGTCAGCATGCACAGAAGAAATTCCACAGATACATAATGCTGTCATAATGCAAAAAAGTCTGCAGTCAGTGTTTTCAATCGTTATTGTTGTATGCAACAGCACACACTTTGGACCTTCGCTTGTGTTCAGATTACATGTGTTGCTGCCTTCTACCGTCGACTCTATTGTTCCAACTCTCTTCCTTTGTTCCTTTGCCGCCCCCACCCCCACTTCCCTGGGTCTGCAATGGCCCCTGCTGACCACCAGAGGGGGGTAGTGAACTGCAGAGAGACTTCACTGATGTCTTTAAGTTTTAACCGTGTTTCTCTTGAGTGGACGAATGTGCTCCTCTTTGTCCGGCAAAGAGGAGCAAAGAAACTAAATAAATAAAGAATAATACGTTTGCCCCGCTGCTTATGTTTATCTGTCAACACCACCTTCCAATGCTTTGAACTCAGAGGTACTCTTTGGGCACATTCCAAAGCCAATCGCCTCCAGCAGTTATAGCAATTTAATAAGGCTCCAACTTTATGTGATTACAGGTGTTGCACTCGTTGACACCTCTAAATTCTTTCTTCAGTATTTCTAGGTAAACCGCAGGCTTCCTGTGTATCCCTTTGTTTAGCTTTTGCCTAAGACTTTTTCTTGAGTCCATTTATACTATATATAAAAAAGCAATGCCACCTTGTTGGGGAGTTGAGCCCGTACCGGCTGAAGTCTTTCTTAGTAATATCACTTTAATGGCCTTATCGTGAGTTATGACAATCTCACCCCCAGCGTCATTAACCCACCGGTCCTTAATCTCGGCGAGAGCACCACCTGTCAGGCTTCGTTATCCATTAAACCGTTAATAATCTCCTGCCGCACGTGCACGCACGCACACACTCGACGGCCGTGGCGGCGCGTGCAAAGAGGAAAAGATTGGAGGCGTGCTTTCGCACCGCCTCTGATGAAAGCAGCGACGGGTGCTGTGGAGATCTGGGCTGAGATGCGGACGGTAGAAAACAAGGGGTCCCTTAATGAGGTCGGTTGGATTGAGTATTATCAGTGGCCCCCCCAGGGCAGCTGCCACAGTTATGCATCTAGTGCTGCTGAGGCTGCTTCCATTACCACTATACCTTGTAAGTCCCAGGTGGCCATTGCTTCATCCTTTGACTTGATTTTAAGGTTGATCGACTATCCTCGAGTTTGTACTCAGTAGCTGTAATGGTTTTAGTGCTCATTAAAAGCTCTTAGAAATGTGACTCATCAGCTTGGAAATGAGGGGTCGTTTTAGCAGCTATGGTTTTCTGTTGTCGAGTGAGGTCATCTTATAAGTCCACGTTATTTTTCACTGCACTCCATTTGTTTGGAAACTTTTCTCAACACTGGGTTTGATAAAATCCCTTAAAAGGGTCATGACAGTGATCGTCCCAGCAATATACAGGCATGTGCATGCCTTCATCAGCACTGACCAAGCGATAGGACTGGAAATAATGGTATGAGATTGGGAATTAAATACAACAGGGACCCGAAACGAGGGCATTACAGTTCATGGTTAGCACCCTTAGCCTACCCTATAAATATAACAGGATGCCACGAGCCTTTACACTTTTAAAGGGCATCATTCACCCCGACCCATTATGTAAGCCTGCACATCATGTGTGAGTCTATGTGAGCCTGTCAGAGTGAACCACTGCCCTATTTCCCATTGACATATTTTATCAGCTACTTTAAGCCACCAACCGGGCGACTCCACTGGACTCCTACCCTCCTAAAAAAAATCCCTGTCTCCTATGAATTGACATTCCTGTTAACATTTTTATCCCCTGAGTGGAGAAAAATCAACAGACATGCAACCGATCACGCGAGATCGTATTAAGGGGTCACAAGCTGTAAAAGCTCTAGAGCCTCTGTGTTGGCGTTACAGAAACACTGCTAAAGGACAACTTTTTAATGACCATCTCTGTCCTTAACCAGCAGGATTTTCAGTTACGGAAAAATGACATGTGATCCTTTAGTGATGCTATGGCAGGAAGTCAGATTGCACGTCATTGCAAACTACAAAAAGTTGTTAGGAAGTTACAAAGTTAAGGGTAAAGCGTAATTGAGAGCTCCAGTTTTTTTGTTGGGAGGGATCCTCTGTTCTCTGCAAGCAGAAAGGACTAATTTGATGGCACAACATTTCATCCGGGCTGTGTAGAAAGTCTCTCACGTGTGTGCTTTCTGCTGAAGATAAAAAAAACAGGGTTGTTTTTCTTAGTGCAATGTTGACATTGTGAAGATGAAATGTTTTCACCTGACCAGGATGACACGTGTGTGCGTGCAGCTGGGCGCCGACCTTCCCTCCGTCAGACATTTTCTGATATAGACCGCAGAGTTCACGACCCTGTGAACTATAAACCACCAGAACGAGGCCTCTTGGCTTTGGATTGCTGTAAATAGCCTCTGGTCATTGAGCACGTGTGTTACAAAAGGCAGATGATGATGATGATGATGAGGGTGATGATGGTGATTTAGTCTTGCACCTGTCCTGACCTCTCCCCCCTGCAGACCCCCCGAGACAGGATGAGTCTCTAGTCTCCAGGTTGTTGTCCTTGGTCAACAAAGGGGGGGGTACGAGCTCATGAATTGTTTGCCAACGCGTCCCTCTGACATCCCATAATGCCTTTTTGTTCAGACAATGACAGTCGCTGCTCGCGACTTCATGACCTGCCTAATTATTTCCACATGGCGAATGATATTGAAAGACTTCATCTAAAAGAGTCCAGCAGTCACTTTATTATTGTTCGCCGTCCATTATGTCGACGTTACAAATTGATCATTTCTTTCGGGTGAGGAATGAAAATCGGAGGCCGTGCTGGAGCCCCAATGCAACCAACCGCCGGTCGAGAGGGTGGCGCCGCCGTGACCTCTATTGTGTCTCCTGCATCATTTATCACGCACGCACACTTAAGCGTTGCATATTAATTCACAGCTATCCATTAGGCCCTAGGAGGTCCCAGGCCTATAAATCAAAACCAAAGGCTGGCAAATTGACTCACACACAAAGGACCAGGACGACTACGAGGAAGACGGGAAGAGAGAAGGAAGAAAGGGGAAATGAAGAGGAGGCTAATGGCAATTTAAGGGAAAGACAGGAACAAAAAAAAAAGAAGAGGAGAAGAGCTGCAGTGTGCAGCGGCGTCTCGCTGCCCCTGACCCGCATGCCTCCTTTGTTCTATGACTGATGGTATCCTGCGATGACACACATTGCTTATGAGCCCCTGTTGCCGTGGGCTTGATCTCGCCACGTATAGGGCCACTGTGCAGCACCAGTATATAGGGGCCAATTCTCCCAGGGCTCTTAGCGGCGCTGCTAATTAGCTAAAAGGGGTCATTTGTATGCAGCCTCTCTGCCTCTTTATCTCCCGCTCTTTCCCCGTCTCTCCCTTGGTCTCCGGCTGTTTTTTTCTTCTTTTTCGGTTATCAATCTATAGCTTAGTCCTTATCTCATTTTGTCTCCGCTACTCTAATTGTGTCTGAGCTGATGATAAGCGTAATTCAAGTCTAATAAGTTGGCAGTTAGCGCTAACGGATTAGAGTTCCGAAACTTTCATTTATTTCTCCTGGATTCTTCTAATATAGGCTACTTACAGGAAGATATTGACGCCTATTGAGAGAGGGCATGTCTCTTGGATTTCTGTGTAAGAGGAATTAAACAGCTATTTAGATCTGTCAGGCCAGGTCTAAATAATGTTGAGTCTAATCTGGTCCGGGCGGGGTCACGTCAGTCTCTGGTCCGTAAGTAACACATATTGAAACAAAACTACAAAACAGGTCCCTGAACTTTATCTCTATTGCCACCAAGTTATATACACATTTTTGATGAAAAAATCCTGCTGGACACAGTTGTATAATCATTAGGACATTTATTAAATAATACTTGTAAGTAGACAGAATTGACACACATACAAGTCACGCATCAAGACACAAAGATCTTTTCGTTTGGCGCAGAAATATATAGTTGGCAGATGAACATACTGAAACGGGGAGGTGTGGGGAGGCGCCGGGCAGAAACCAAGTGCTGGTAATAAACCTTGGATGTAGACAGTCATCTTTTCTACCTCAGGCACCACAAGATTAACTGGACATTCACGCACAAACATCTGGACTATCATTTGAACACAGACTCTCTGTAGTATAGTAACATTGACTAAGGCGAAACATTATTTAGAGGGGCGAAACTATTAGGACCCATGAAATAAAGAAGGACCAAATTCCACTACTTATACAACTGGAATGAAAAGCCTTAGTGTGATACCAAGTGTATATAAAACAGTATTTTGAAACACGCCTTTTCTTCTAGGATCATCACACTAAAATAAGTCTGAAAAAGAAAAAAAGTGTTGACTTTAATGTTTGGGAGGAAAACCTTACAATAGTATAAAACTACTAAATACTAATGGAACAATAGTATACTCAAATACTCGCCCTTACAATATAAAAAGTATAAATAATTAAAATAATTTAAAGGGAGGGCGTCATTAATCAGCCCTGGTTTTGCATCATAATCACAGCAGCAGAAAAGTATGATTGATGATGTAAATGAAAGACTGTGAAGCGTGAAATGCCGGAAACATGACATGTGTGCTGATGTTGTGGATCAGAGTTGCGTGTTAATCGGGGGGCAGACCCTCGCCCCGGCCAGCGCTGGCGTTCTCTTTCTCCTTGGGTCTGTTTTCCTGATTCAATTATCCGTGGGTCTAATTCAGATGGGACTGGTTTCATTGTCCTCTTAAACCTCACAGGGTTCAGGCTGCTGAAGACCTACTTCTTTATGTTAAGTTTGAGTGCAGTTCTGAGGCTCCAAAAACCCACGACCCACGAATACACCACGTTGTGTTTGTGTCACATCTTCTGTTCCTTTCTTATAACAAATGTGTTAAGAGTCCCTCCTTCTCTTCTTCTTTTCCCTCTTCCTTTTCTTCTTCCATGTTCACACACACACACACACACACACACACACCTACAGACCCACTTTCAATCTCGGCCCCTCACCCCCCTCCCACCCCCACCTGTCGTTCCCCCGACTTGTGTTGGGGATTGATGGAGAGATGGGAGGCTGTCATGCAGTAAATAGCATGGACATTGGCTCCCCTCCACGAGATGGGAATCAAGCCGTCTTCTTGTGCTCTTAACGCTTCCCCTGTCCCGCTCCGGACTTCCTCCTCCCACCTCCTCCTCCTCCTCACCTGCAAAAACCCCCAGTCGTTAAGTGCGGACCGCGGAGGGCAGCGAAGCCACTGCTGAGCCTCCCCGCCATCGCTCACCCTGATGCACGAGCCAATCTGCCTCCCCTAACAAAAGCCTCCCGGAGACATTACTCCCTGTCCTCCTTCAAACACGTCTCTCTATTCCTTCTCCTCCACACCTAGGCCACCCCTCTCCCTCTCCCGCTCC